AGAGCTGGCACACCTTGTTTTTGCTCATAAAGGCAACAAATTGAACAGAAATATTTAGATCCCTGTGGTCTCCCAGATTGCACTGTTTGTCCTAATTGGTAAACTGTGGTGTGTGCGACACCCTCGGGGTCCGTCTGATTGCAGGGGAGTGGCGGGAAAACCGAGTTAAACCGCTCAACTGTTTTGTGTAGTCTATACCTGCATGCGGTGGTTGTCTGGCACGTGTTGTTTACCGCCAAGTCTGCTCCTTTGCGCCGAAATCCAAAAAAGGCCTTGGCATGGCAGCAGAAGATGCTCCAGCGAGGCGGCGGAGAGGACAAGGCTCGCTGTAATCTGACACACTGTGAAAGATCCCAGAAATCTACATAGCGACTGTGTGTTCCAGTTGGCTGAGCTGAGCTGTGCCTGAGCTTCGCTATGCTGGCGCTCATCCCAAAGTTGGCCTCAGCGCTGCTCAGGGAGCTGGAGGGGGGCCCGGTCAGCGAGTTCAGTGTGGCGGGCTGCCATCGCTCCCCTCTCCTCAACATACAGCAGCGTATACACTGACATGTTTACACACACACAGCGGAGAGGCCGAGAGCTCGCCTCCCCCCTCCGTGTTTCCAGGGTTTTTACTAGTCAGACAGGATCCAATTTGTCTGGATTTCTGTGCTGAGAAACGGAGCAGAGAGAGAGAGAGAGAAGGGGGGGATCTGCTTGCATTTAGATTCTGTGCTAAGAGAGCAGGTCAGTGCTTTAATGTGAAAATGTAGGCCACGGTTGAACTAAAGGTCAGTTAATTAGTTGAGGTAATTGGTGTGTGTGTGTATTCAATTTGAGGGCATTTCATAACGGATTTGAGTAAAATGGTTTGTCCACGCTGCTTAAATCCTCACATCCCTGCACCCAAATACAGAAAAGGCGACGAGAAGCTTCACATGTAGGTTGAAACACAAACTGACACCTGAATGGTTTGCAAGTTATGACAAGCTTTACATTGTCAAATTTAAAGAACGTGAGGGTTGTAGAAAACACAATATGAGCCAACACAGCCTAACAAATAAATTTCGCTACTTGTGTGAAAGTTCCGATGACGGTGCACCTTTAAGGCCTTAACTGTAGATGGTGCATTGCAGCAATAAGACTCACAATCGCCAGGTCAAGCCACTGATCGCCTTGTTACTATGCTGCCTTTAGCATTTCTGAGATTTATGCATTTTAAATTCATTTGCAGCCAAGGTCTTTGGCTGCAGGTGTTATATAAGCATCGCTAAAAGGCGAACACACATTGGTCTATTTAGTCCTTATTGTTTGGTGCAGGGAAGGAAGAAATGTGATTAATCTCATTTTTTCCTCATTTTATAATTATTGTATTGTAAGAAACAGATTGAAAACAGTGGGATTGTTGAATTTCAGCAGTCCTCCCACAAACTTAACTGGCTTTGAGTTCATCATCTTGAATATTTCTTATTCATTCTGCAGCATCTGTGATACTTGGAGCTGACTGTCTTCTGTTCTGGCTCTCTGTGTGGGAGAGAGGATGATTTGTAAATGAAAACTCACGTCACCATCTCCTCTAACAGGTGGAGGATTCTTTCCCCTCCCTGCTGATCTTGTTGCGGATTCTCACTTGATTTGAACTCATCCATCAGCTAAAACACACAATTCAAACAGACATATTTCATTTCATACAAGATGTTTTGACTTCCTTGAGTGCATGAGATCCATCATCTTTGGTAAAAGAACGCTGGGAAATACTTTCAAAGTCGAGTGACCGTTTAGTCCGGTTTAGCAATTGTGAAATCAGCCTTTCGTGGCTGAAAACCAGCATTTTGAGTATAACCTCAGCTCACATTCAGGCTGCACATGACTAAAGCCTCTTCTAAACAATACCGGTTCTGTTGCAGCTTGTCAGGATGAATCAGCCAACTCCTCTGTGAATGAGCTGAGGTAATGCCTCCACTTGTTCTGTCTTTCAAATCCTCATGTTTAAGTTCTTGTTTCGCCAAAACAAAGCAACTAAACCTTAAAAAAAAAAAAAAAATCCAATATTCTTCCGCAGCCTCTCTCAGTTCATTGTCTTTTGGTGCCTTTAATTGTTTTTGCAGGAAGAGTCTCGCTGCATAGGAAAACAAAAGTAGGTAGACAGACAAACAAATTATCAAAATGACATGGTAACCCAACCACATCATAACCCTTCCCTTCCCTCAACCGCACAATCCATTATAAATCATCACTCATTGTGGACACTTCACAGTCACGCAGTGAACTATGTAAGTAATGACTTTAACAAACTGTAATTAGTTTGTGCTGCACCATATATTTTGAATGTGATCGTACTCAAGCTATGTATGCGTTCCTATTCTAAGAGTACATTTAGGTATATTTAAATGTGAATGTATTGTGTATGTTGTGAGTAATTTATGTTACAGGGCCATAAATTGCAAAGTTATGCGGACTGCAAAGAAAACAATGCTTTTGTTCATATATTTACTTGTAGATTAAAGAAAAAAGACACTTCAGACTGGTGCATTTGAGCTGACGATTCTAATATTGGTCATTTTCAGAAGTAATTTGTTGAACTTTGCAGTGGAATAGCAAAATCTAAATCCAGCTGTTGACTCTAAATTTGTTTTCAACTCTGTTTTGCCTAAAAATGTCCTATGAATGTTTTCTGACGCACAAGGCTTTGCCAAATCTGAAAACCCTCATTACCAACTGTTCTCCTTATCAAGCAGGTATGTTAAAAATATATGACAAACAAGATATCTGTATTATAATGTTCTGTCATGATAGAACAGTTTCTTGATACACCTACTAGTTTTTAAATATGTATGGAAGTGCTCGGCCCACACTGTGCACCATTTATAGTTTTCAAATTTGCATTAAGTCTTTTCTCTTTGAAACTTTGTGAGCGCTGAAGGAATAGAACCAAACTGCGAGACTTTTGAACAGCGGCGTTCCTTTGTAAATGCTCTATTGACAGTTCCTCATTTCGGACTTTAATCAAGGCCACTGATCTGGACTTGAACGACCTGTTTTGCGTAGCTGCACATCTCTTCCGCTTTGTGTGTCTTTGTGTGCATATCAAAGGTCAGCAAATGTGTGCTTTACTAAACTAGGCATCAGAACTTCGCTCTGTGACAGCTAATGATTAAAGAAATGTCAAGAAAATGAACTTGTTTGACAAAGCTCTTATGTGGAATCAGAGCACGGGGGATAAACTCTCACTTTCAAAGCCCCAACGTTTGTCACTGTCACCCTTTCAACATTATATTCTACATGACATTACAGCATCGCTCTCACAGCTGGCATAGAAAAAAGGAAGTTGTGCTCTTTGGGATGAAAACAGACTCAAAGAACAGTTCTAAACATTTCTAGTAATATTCAGAAACCTGGACTGTTTCGAATTAAAATGGATGAACCTCAAGGATGTGTGTGAGGCTCCCTGTCAGACTATTTAGTCTCTCTTCTATAACATTGCTGCTGGTTAGAGCTATAAATGTGTGTCTTTATTGTTAAAATCTGATATCAGTCGTGTCAGAAACAATGCAGTAAAAATGGTGGATTACTGTAAACTTCAAAAACAAACAAACAAACAAACAAACAAAAAACAGCAAATACCTGGAGAAAAACAAAGATATTTCTTGCTGACTCAAATGCAGTAAAAATAGTGTAATTTTATTTTTGAAAGTTCTAAATTAACAAACTACCACACACACACACACACATATATATAAAATACAGTTTTTACATGTTTTTTTAATTATGTTTTTTTTTTTTTTTACAATTAACACGTAGATATTTTACACTTAACCAGTTTTTCCCCTGTAATTTATCAAAACTGTGAACATCAGTTCATGTATTTACATTCAATATCAATGTAATATGTACACATAAAGTATGCTTAAGTTCACACATTTAGAGGGTAGTTAAATCCTAACAGACTGCAGCTTTGTTAGGAAAAACCAGGGCCCTACATTGATAAATTCCAACATGAAGAAAACATGGAAGCAAGCTTTGCAAATATCATGACTTTAAATATGTATATATAAGGAATCAAGATAATATGCAATATTTCAATTTCATCCGCAATAATGAATGAAAAATACTTTATTCATCCCAGAAGGGAAATTCAATAATCTTGTGTAATAATATAATTTTATGTGCAATATTTATCTGCACATATTATTCTATTTACTCTGTTATGTATAACATTTCATTAACGTGCAATATGCAATTCCAATGTGCAATATTTCATTTTTCAGGTGCAGTCATTCAATTTAATGTGCAACATTTCAGCTTCATGTGCAATATTTCACTATCATGTGTAATATTTTTATATAAACATACATTTTGCACCATCTGTGTAATATTACTTCACAATCTCAGAATTAATGCAAGTAATATTTATTATTTTCCTGTTTTATTCCCTTTCTTTAAGTTTCTTCCTTTTTTTTTTTTTTTTAGTAATTGTATCTCATTGCTTGTCTATTAATTACTGCATTTATTTTCATGTTAAATGATTTTATTTTCTAAGCAATATCTGGCACAAGAATTTCCTTTATTGCCTTTGATAACGTTTAATCTTTGCTATTTCTGGAGATATTGAACTCTTAAATTGGCTTTCCGGGTTATTTGGTGGGTGAAAATAAAATTACAATAATTAAATAAATGAAAGGTCTGAAGACAAATAAAATCTCCAAATTCTGCCATTTTTTAATTTTATTTATTTTTATTGTATTTTTTATTTATTTATTTATTTTTTATAAAACTTAGTTTGGGTCACGAATGAGAAATAAGTTAACTCTGAGTCAAATGTGAGACGGTGCCAGAACGTTTCTTTTGATTTCACACTGAACTGATCCACATCTGTGAAACGAGTCGTGATGTTACCGGAGCTCTCGCGCGGCGTGGGACGGCTGCACCTCTCGTGCTCAGCGTGGCCGGCCCACGCGCACTGATCACGGTCCCCTCGGTGACGTCTGTGTCCCCTCCGCCGCCAGTGGCCCCGTGCCATATTTATTCATGCCGGGCAAGATGGCGGCGATACGGACGAGGTGTTATTGCCAGTGGACATAAAAAACGGCATTTTTTTCAAAATACAAAGCCGAGTCAGATACATTCGCACACTTGACCGCTTCGTGTGTGCGTTTACAACGTAACGAGCGTCGACGTCTTTTTAATTTTACGCGTTTCGAGGGTTTTTTCTTACAAAATGTTCACGTTGTAACTCGCTCGCTAACCGACCAGCTGGCTAACAGAGAGCAGTGACTAGCTAGCTAGCTATCTATCACAGCCAAGCCGCCGTGAAGTGTAGAATGGGAGAAAAGCTGGAGCTCAAGCTCAAATCGCCGGTCGGAGCAGAACCTGCTGGGTATCCGTGGCCGTTACCAGTATACGTAAGTGTTAAACCCCAAAACCAAGTGGTTACATTTTTAGGTTTTGTCTCTTGTTTTTGTCTTTGTTAGCTGCGTTAGCTGCCTTGCTAACGGGGGCTAGCAGAAGGAGCCATGGCACGCTCGTCCGGGGAATCAGGTCATACTGGTCGGGACGGTGACTGACATGTATTATCAGTGAGCTTACATGACTGACCAGATATTTAGATTGTTTTTTCTCCTGTGCTGCTGTTAGCATTTGCCAGAAAACAGCCACATTCACCGGAGGGCACATTTGATCAGAGTACAGCTGTAGGTAGTAAAAGTAGTGACACCCAGGAATAAAACAGTGTTTTGAAATTGGAGTAGACCTTCCTTCACATTAATCATCATGTCAGTCCGCTGATTGCTTAGTTTTTACCCAAAGTGAGCGGAGTATGATCCTCCGTGTTCCTCTTTTAACACGTGGAGTTGAATCCAGGCTGTAAATATATGTTTTAACCCTGTTTTTATCTGGTCAAAACCACCATGTGACAGTCACACTGGAGACACAGCGATAAAGAGGTTGTGTGTGTGTGTGTGTGTGTGTGCGTATAAACTCTGTGAGGTCAGTGCTTCTCGATGCTGCACGTATCTGGATGGCAGCGTTGCATTCCTCGAGTGCTTTCTGTGTTGTGTTTTCTAATAACATCCTTATGAGCGAGAGCAGCTGACTTGTGTGTGCGATAGTTTGAACTCCGCGCATACAGTTGCTCCCTGATCTGTCAGCTCTCAGTGCATTAGCAGTCCTGCTTGCCTAGAAAGAGAGGTCTTTTCTCCTAGTTGTGTTTCCATGAAGCTGTCAGCACGTCAGTGACTGATTGCAGTTGACTCATTCAATAGAAGCGGAAAGGGAAGCGGTTGCAAGTTCTGTGGTCTTTTCAGTGGCATATAGTTAGTTTAAACTATGTTTCTCATTTATAGTAATTGCGGTGAGACAGTCAGTACTGACTGAAAAAAGAATTCTCAGAATGTCTGAGTGGGGTCTCTGTATTTCTTCTATCCACCCACGCTTCGCCCTGTCAGTCATTCTGGTATTTTCAGTTCCATCATGTATTCTGTTTATCCTGTTATCGCAATATGCATTGAATAAGTTCGAAGTCACTGAGTCACAGTTACTAGTTGATGTAATCAGCCACTCCTCTCTGCTTTGGCTGACAGCGTTGACCCTCCCTTTACACCAGGCCAGAGTCTGATAACACTCACAGTTCCTCCCTCCCGCATTCATTGCATCGCCTGTGTGTTTTTTTGATGTTATGCTCGGCAAGGATAAACAGGAGAACGAGTCATGTCAGGAATTTAATATATTGTTGATCTGCGTGATAGCTATTTATACTGAGACTAGCTGTCGTGGATTGAATTAGAAACAGCTGATGCATGTGGAGTTCTGCAATATGGAGCCTATTCATGCAGTGCTCGCCTCCTGTTTTCAAAGGGGAAAGACTTCCTCTCTCTTTTCCCCTCCTCTCTTGTCCATATGGTCAACTCTGCAGGAAAGAAGATATAGGAGACTGCTTCTGTTCACCAGTGCCGTATTAATAGTTTTACACGTGTCAGTATCAAATGTTTTTTTTTAGTCGGGTTTTATCCATTTTGAATGACTTGCTGGTAACAACAGATCCCACTCCATGTAGATTCATTCTTCACTCCCACAGAGCATTAAGATTGCCTATCTCACCCACAGAGCATGAACACAGTGCTGTCTGTGTTTTGATACACACAACTTGGCTGTTGGACAAGCTTTTGCAGCATAAGGCGTGCTGTTAGAACCGAGCCCATTTATTGATCTCTTTCATCCTGCGTTGCATTTCAGTTTTTCCCCTGTCTCTCACTAAATCCCCACATCTGTGCATCTGTAAATGCTTCCATATGAAGAGCACCTCTGGAGCAGTGCAGCTCTTTGTCCATCTGGTTCTGGGTGTGGGCAACAACCGGCCCTGCACGACACACTGCCGTTCAAGTACTGTTGACCAAATTTGGTTTGTTGATCACCTGTGTTCTAAAGTCAAATAGTACGAAGGTTTCAACTGTTAGTTCAGCGCTGAAAGCAACAACAGCAAAAAAAAAATGCAGGTGCATATTTGCAGTCATGCCATTGTTGTTTTGGTAGTGATTTTAATGTACAGTGTTTCTGGTTTTGAGCCTGGCAGCCGGCCAGCGCAGGTCGTTTGAGGTTCTCGGTGTTGTCACCATGTGACTGGCTGTACTTATCTGTGAAGGCGGCTCCTCTGGATGGGAGCATGTTTGTAATCATTAGGTTCCATACAAAAAAAAATGTTTTTTCACACATCTTCTCTGCTTAGAAGCCTGAAAAATGCATCAATATTTTGTGTCAGAAGTCACATCAGTTTGTCACGGAGAGAATAAGCCATATTTCGTGGTAAGCAAGTGCAGTTCACGTGTCTCAGCCTGCTTCAGTCATTTGTTCTTGTAGGGTGCTGCTGAGGTGTACATAGTGGAGCAGTGTGTGGTGTAAAAACCCCGACACCCACAGTGCGTCACGCTGATGTGAGGAGAGATTGACTGAAGAGGTGGTGTGGAGAGGAGGAGTTGTACATGCGTCAGTTGGACCCACAGTGGGGAGAGAGGAGGGTCCTCTGTTCTTTTTGTCTGACTCTCGCTTTCAGACAGTGTTTATTTTTAGCAGCAGCCCTGTGCTGGTGTTGCTGTGTGCCGTCTTTGTGTGAGCAGGTGACCTACAGCCACTGCATCTCATTCGCTTGCTCATACAGTCGTTTTTCACACACTCGCACACTGTTGTGCAGCTTCTCTATTTAGCGTAAAATCAACTGTGCTCATGCATGTGCGAGAAAATTTGTAGCTCATGTGTGGCTGCATATTAGCAACACAGCTAACAGGCTAGCGTGATAGTGTCACTGCAACGCTGTGCTGACAGAAATAGCACTAGATTTCCTGTGTATGTAACCATGCATATTTGAATGTGTGCGCATGCATGTTTTAGCTTTGGCGGAAGTTTGCGTAGTAGTGGCGGGCAGTATTGAGCGGGAAGCCGGGAGCTCCAGGCTGTGAGCAGTTAGCTGCGGCTTCAGTGCCAGGCCTCAAACAGCTGACAAATAGCAGGCTTCCCCTCCTTTCTCTGGCCCCCTCACTCTCCCCCTTTTTTTTTTTTGTTTTCTTCGCTTTCACTTTCTTTGCTTTTACCCTCTGATTTATTCTCTTTTTTTTCACTTTCCCTCCTATCTTTCTCTCCAGCAGAGGCTCTCCTTGGCAATGCGCTGGAGCAGGAGACAGAAAGTGGGTCAGTGGGTCAGCTCAGGCAACAGGCTCAGGCTGGCTGCGCTCTAGGTGAAACTTGAGTCCCGTTACTCCCAGAGCAGCCCGGCACACTCTAGCTAAGGTTTCTAACTATAGCTTCTCTGCCTGGGACAAATATAATTCATCTAATTTTATTAAGTTTTTTGTTCGAGGCAGCGGTGCCGTTTTGAGCCACGTTACCTTAAATGACTTTCCGAGACATGATTTGAAAGTCTGATTGTGCCTCGTCCCCCACAGAAAGCGTTATTTGTGCCGTGCGTTAGCAGAGAAGCAGCTCCGGTGCTCCCTGTGTGTTGACACAGGAGGTGTTCTGGCATGGCATGAAGCTGTAGGTCAACCCCCAATCCTTAGAAAGAGCCCCATTACACAATCTGTTGGAATGCTTGCACAGCAAAACGTTAGAAAAGACGGTTAAGACTCAGAAATACCCTTTTGATTGTGTTTTTCTGAGTTTATAGCACACGCAAAATCCCAGCCATTATGCGCCCTGTGCAGACAGCTGGATGGATTAAAGCAAGTCCCTACCAGACGCACGTGAGACAGACGAATGAAAACATGACTGAGATGCTTTCTGTGTCAGTACAGCTTGAATTAACCCTCTGAACCCTAAGTAGTCAGGGGATTTTTTTTTGCTTTCATCACATTTTCACTTCTCAGGGGTTTATTTTTCTATGTAATATGAAAACCCGAAGCTTTATGGAAACAGCACAATCATGTCTAGAATAAAGAGACCTCAAATGTGTCTTTTGTGTACTCCAAATAATTTGAATTTCTTTAATTATTCATTTTACAACAAAAAAATCAACATGGAATCAACATTTTTCCAAGTGCCAACAGGTGTTTCCAATAACGGAAGAAATAAAAACTCTGCATACTATAGATATTTTACCACTTACATTATTAAATTGTTTCCATACTTGCCTTCTGTCTGTTCTGTGTAAAAACTTGCAAATCAGCTCCGTTCAGCTGAAAAGTCTCCAAATTTTTGTCTCGTGATCCTTGCTGACAGCCGAGTCATGCATGGCTTCACGGTTGTGCACAGGAACTCAGACTTTGTTTTCTTTTTTTTTTCAGTCTGGTTAGTTCAAAGGGAATATTTTTGGTCAAACTGTTTAATGAGAATTTTAATAAATATCACAGTTTCAAGCTTAGATTTGGTTAAGTTTTCAAATGCAGTAGCATACCACAGATAAGTAGTTCAAAGACCATTGAAAAGCAGAAGATCAGACAATTCCTTCTGTTTTAGGAGTTTCTGGCTCTCAAAAATTGTGCGGTTTTGGTGATTTTTTATTTTATTTTAAGCCACCATACTTGTCAAACCCAGCAGTGGGTTTGGGGATTCTAAGGGTTGAAATTAATTAAGGGTTAACTGAACAGATTTCCTGAAGTTTAGAGTTATTTCAGATTAAACTAAACTCCACAAGGAGGCAAGAAAAACCTCAGATTAGTGCCGTTTCTGTATAGACATGTGGAATATTTTACAATAAGCGACTCCTCAGTTAAAGAGGAACTAATCCAAATTTAAGAGAAGTCTCATAAAACCAAATTGACGAGGGCTTGATGTAGGTCTGTGGCATCTATACACCATATTTATCACCAACATAAGTATGTAGGTGCACTCCCATCCTCTGGTTTTTCTTTTTTTTAACAATAATTTGATGCAGTTTGTTCATTATTTCATCAGTTAACATGTCTGAGGTACAAAGAAATCAGGATGTTGAGGATGTTGCTATGGGGACATGTGAACCAGACTTAGCAGCTTGTGCCACCTGATGCGTCTTTGGCATTTCACCTTTGCTATGGGGTGCCCCACAATGATTAATAATGAATCGCAGATGAATAATTCGTATACCTTGCAAACACAAACACAATGTGGCACTTCTTACCAGATTGTTGTAGTTCAAGAAAATGTTCATATGCATCAGTTAGAGTTCCGGCAAACTTGATTTTATGCTTCGACCTTTCTGTCTGGCGTTGTGTGTGTGTGTTCAGCTTTTAAGCCTCGTTTTGTGTGTATGCAGCAGTTGTATATGAGGAGCCGTGTCTTGGTAAAACGTGCAGAAGAGCACCACACATAGCTGCTTTGATACGGCGACACATCTGAGCACGTGTGCTTTCACAACAGACTGCTGTGGTTAGGAGTTTGCTTTATTCAAATTGTGCAGTGTGTGTTATAAACAGTGGCAGAGTTTCAGAACAATCTAAATAGTACTCAGTCACATAGGTGCTCACAGTTAGTCTGAAGGGGCTGTTAGTTAGTCTATGTGATGTTACTGCATTCATGTTTAGGTTAATGTATGCTTTATTTTTAGCCCCATTAAGCATTAATTACCTAATACACATAGCAAGGACTGTCTGTCAGGACATCGTTATTAGCTTACAGTATGATGTCTGGTGTTATTGTATTAATTTCTTCTTAATTGGGAACTTGGGTTTGCCTTGACGGCAGCAGATTTCATGACATATTGTTGTGTTTAATGTAATGTTAAATACGTTTAGGTAAATAGTAATCTTAAATGATGTACCACAAATTGCAAAAACAACGGAAAACTTAAAGCTAATGCAGATAAAGTGCATGGACTCAATGGTGTGAGTATTCTTTCTGTATTGTGCTACCTGGCTTGTATTTTTTACATTTTGCACTGACTTGTAAGTCTATTAAGTACATGTTGCTTAAACCAGTGCAGTTTCATGAAACAGTCTAGCAAAAAAAAAGCACAGTCACAAAGGCTTTAATGTTTAGTTTCTGCCAAGACTGTTTTTGGGAGGTCTTGATTAAACGTTATGGTCCTATCGGAGACTATAATTTGTGGTGCTGCTGAATGTAATGTGTCGCACTGTTTGGTAATATTTTGCCCCTCCCTCTCTTCTCAGGATAAACACCATGATGCTGCTCATGAAATCATCGAGACCATTCGGTAGGTGACCTTTTCTTCCCCTCTGACTGAGCCCTTTTATACTCCCACATTCACATGACTGCGTCAAGTGTCTGATTTGGTGCTGATTTTATGTTTGGGGATTTTTTTTTTAGGTGGGTGTGTGAGGAAATCCCAGACCTCAAACTGGCAATGGAAAACTACGTGCTCATTGACTATGACACCAAGAGGTAAGTCTTTGGTTGTGTCACATTAAAATCTGTGTATGTCACGGTCACAGAACAACAACAACAAAAATCCCCACAAAAAATTGCTTGTCCACAGTTTTTAAGCATTCGATTTGAAATGAGTTCAGCCACGAAATGACACCATCAATGTCAAAGTTTAATGAAATGGAAAGGAGGTTTAACGCTTTCTGAACGGTTTCGCTTAGTTTGCTTCTTTCTTAAAGTGTCAGTGATGATGGATTATTCGTTTCCAATTCATGTCACACAAATTTTATTTTAAAGACATTTTTAAAAATGACAAACCATCAAAGTGCAACTGTAAGAAACCATATAACATGGAAGCTATATTTCTAAATATAGCCACATTTCACTTAAAAACAGATCAGAGACACAACAAAAAGCCTTTTCCCCAACAGTTACCGACTGTTTTTGTCGTTACATTAAGATGAAAGTTGTTCCCATGATGTCAATATAAAGACAGGTCAAATTTATTTTGATTAAAATGTTTACGTCAACGTTGTGTGTTCTCTTTCTCACAGCTTTGAGAGTATGCAGAGACTTTGTGACAAGTACAACAGGGCCATTGACAGCATTCACCAGCTGGTGAGTGCATATGTGTGAAATCTTTGACCGTCCTGTAGGTGAAGTAAACACACAAATATGAGTCACAAACATTACATGGAAAATACTGACGCTCATCTAAGTATGAGTGTGTCTTGAATCTGTGCTGTGTTTGACTAATTTCCAGTTTATGTCCTTATAATTACTTAGTTTTAGTTATAAATTAAGATATTGGAGACAATTTTGTCTATATATATATTTCAGTGCTTTTGTTGGGCTTTGCTTAGAAATCTTTTTGCATTCTGTTTGCTTTTGTTAATGATCAGTGCCTGTTGATTATATTTTGCTCCTTGATTTATGAAAATGGCCATTATGCCTTACTCTAAGTATTTTTGAATGTATATATTTGAATTTCCCAAAGGGGATGAAGAAAGTGTCTATGTAGCTATCTCTCTATCTATCTTATGCTTCTGAATTAGTATAAATATATTTATCGGTGGACATTTGGTCTTACAGTGGAAGGGGACCACCCAGCCCATGAAGTTAAACAAGCGTCCTTCCAATGGGCTGCTGAGACACATCCTACAGCAGGTGTACAACCACTCAGTGACTGACCCGGAGAAGCTGAACAACTATGAGCCCTTCTCCCCTGAGGTGTACGGAGAGACCTCTTTCGACCTGGTGGCTCAGATCATTGATGAGATGGAAATGATGGAAGACGACACCTTCGTTGACCTCGGAAGTGGTTAGTTTGTTATTTTGGAATCGGAACAGTGTAATAGTGGGAAAAAAGTCTGCAAAGTTTATCTTCAGACCTTTGAAAGTTATATTGTTTTAACAGTAGGCTAATAGAGAAAACAGTTACATAACTAATAATAATGAAAGAACCATGTTTAGGTTGTTACAGATGTGTCTTGGTGTGTTTGCTGTATGATATGAAATTGATGGTTTCTTATTTGCAGGAGTGGGACAGGTGGTGCTGCAGGTTGCAGCAGCAACCAACTGTAAACACTACTACGGTGTAGAGAAAGCAGACATTCCAGCTACCTATGCAGAGGTAACTATATCTCACAGGAGCAGAGGTGCATTCCAGGAATAGGACAGTGAAAAGTGAGACTTGAGCTATATTCAGACAGACAGCAGCGCTCTGTCGAAAATCCTCTTCTTCCCCAGTCATTGTAGTGAAATGACAGTGTTGGCAGAGCGTGATTGCCATCGTAGACAGCCCTGGCAAATAAATATAGTCTGCCAAAAAGTGCTGTGTTATGTCTTGGTGGCTTATCAGCTTTCAAACTGGGTTTCTTTTCTAAGTATTGCACCTCACTGATTCCCTGTGGCAACATGTCTCAGCGTATCACATATTCAGACTAACAATATGTCTGCACAGAAAGAATTTCAGCCCATAAATTCAACCTGAAGTGTAGTTCATTTTTCTGGTGCTCGTACAACAAAATGCCCAACTTTAGTCACACTAAACAACTGCAAATCCAACTCAAACGTGTCAGTTGTGATGATAAATGCTGGATTTTAGTCACCGGGGTGTCAGAAACAGGCTTTTTGTCAACACCGGGATATTTTTCTTTTAAACTGCTTTTTTTTGGGGATATAAAGATTCACAATCTTTCTTTCAGACCATGGATAAAGAGTTTAAAAAGTGGATGAAATGGTATGGGAAGAAACATGGGGAGTACACAGTAAGTTGACTCATGTGTGACATTTGCATCACTTTTCATTGTGCACACTTTCTAGAAGCTTTCAGTGTTTCGGTGTACTGCAGGTGGACAGGTGTGCTGGGTTTTTATTCTAACTACCATTTTTTTCAGCTGGAGAGAGGGGATTTTTTGTCGGAAGAATGGAAAGAAAGGATCGCCAACACAAGGTGGTGTACCAAGCCTGGTCACAGCGACAGTCTGAGCGGCACGATTTCCATTTAATGCAAATAAGACCATTAATAGGCTGAAGTTATTCACTGAGCGACTACTTGTCCGTGGTAATGTAGTCCAATCACCTGCATAGGATGAAAGAAAAGTCCCTTTAATAAATGGTGGGGAAGCCTTTATTAAATTGTTATTCTCACTGTAAGCTTCTAATGTTTCGTTCCTCCCTATATGAAGTAATCGAATATGCAGTTTCTTGAAATATTAGCCTGACAGTGATGTTTGTAGAAGATGCTATCCCCAGATCAGATGTCCAGTTTAATCTCTGGTCATCCAGATATAAAGCATCACGTGCAGGACTCCTATTTGAAACGTTCAGAACAAAGTCAGAACTCCTTTTATCCAACATGTTCCCCTTTAGAGTGTTGCCGAAATACTGTTTGCTAAAAGCTCAATATTTGCTTGGTAAATATTTGTCTTAACTGTGAACCCTAAATCTAAAACTTGTCCTCTGTCTGTCTTGCAGTATTATTTTTGTGAATAACTTTGCCTTTGGTCCAGAGGTAGATCACCAGCTGAAGGAGCGCTTTGCTAACATGAAGGAAGGTTCGTACTGTTTGTTTAAATCACTACTTGGTTCACTGGATGCCCTTTTGTTCTTTACAAGAGCTGCAGTATATTAAGCATTGAACTCAGAAATACACACACTAATATATAAAAGGCTCTACATTTCAGAGAATGAAATAAAAGGTCACAGCTGAAATCCTGGTCCAAATTGTTAGGGATATTCTGCATTTTTTTTGTTCTAATTAGCTTTTTATTATTATTTCTTAATTGTTCCATTTGGCCTGCCTCACCAAGCCGTGATCTGAAAGCGTTTTAGGCAAATCAGTTAAGCTGTGGAAGGCAACTTCATACATTTTTGCACTTATTGTGTTGTAGATTTTTCAGCATTTTTTCTTCAGGCAATTCATATAAAAATGGGATCCTCATTCCACTGGTCCTTTAATCTCCGCAGTGTGCTATGAGTTCATTTGTTATTTACACTAATTGACTTGATCCGCAGAAAATTCAGACATTTTACGAGGCCTCTGGAGGAAACCAATCAAAGATTTACAATTAAGACTTAAAAATGGAAGGTGTTAGTAGCCTTTTGTCGTGGCAGCAGACCTTTGAAGCGTGTGTGTAAAACATCAAAGCTGTGTGCTGGTGCTGCTGGGAGTGACGCCCTGGCTCACTGGAAACATATTTATTCAGCTGTTCTCATTGTTAATTAAAATAACAATGGTGATGACTGCTATGTGCCAACTCTCAGAGAGCCACTTGACTTTTGGCTTCATTAAGCCACTTGACTCTCGGCTTTAAATGGTAAACATGACAAGGTGTTTATTGTGTTTATGGATTACTCTATCAGCTGGGGAATTGTTGGTGTTTACTATGTTTACTATATATAGTATGAGCTGTTGAATTGCTAGAAAAAATGTATGTATTGATTTTGTCTGTTCATTTTTTCTTTCCAGGAGGAAAAATTGTGTCCTCCAAACCTTTTGCACCTTTAAATTTTAGAATCAACAGTCGAAACTTGAGTGGTAAGTGTTGACATTACTGGAAAAGCAGACGTTTATTTCTGAGGTTGATTTCTATCTGACATTTTTCCTCTCTGTTCTGCAGATATTGGCACAATAATGCGTGTGGTGGAGCTTTCTCCACTGAGGGGCTCTGTGTCCTGGACTGGAAAGCCGGTTTCCTACTACCTGCATACCATAGACCGCACCATAGTAAGTACTGGGACTTGTCTTCATCACTGTTACTGTGATAGAGGAGGAGAAGCCAAGTGCACACGCTAGAAAGTCTAGCAGAGGACAGCCTAATAAAACACTGGAAAACAACTGAAGCAGAACCAACAAATTATACATTAGAGACAAATAGTAGCCTAAACTCAAGAGATAGGCTGCCATAATAACAGCTGCTATCGTCTTAATGAGTAGTCAGTCCTGAGAGTAAGCAATCTAAGGACACTGAGGGTTTCAGAGGCTCACATGAGCTCATTAGATGGCCCTGATATATTTGTCATTCCAGTAATGGGTAAAGTAATCTCTGGTTACCAGTGGGAATCCCTGTGAGAAAGCTGGCAGGCTGCCTGGAAAATGCTGGTGACGGTCTCACTGTGTCGTCGTGTTTCTTGTTACCACTTGAAGTTGTTGGTTCACTCTGTTGCTTACGCACTACAATAGATGGTTATCTAATGACACATGAAGGGTATTTTTTTTTGTAACAGGTACAGACAGTGCAAGAATTTACTAAACATCAGTGACATTTCTGAGTCAAGGTTCCAAGTGTGGATGAGTCAGATTTTTCACAGTGATGTAAAGATCGTGATTGTTTGCACTTTTGTTTTGGAATGTAAACACTTCTGTCTGTTTTGTACATACTAATCTAATGTTCCTTGTCTCGTCTTGTCTTTCAGCTTGAAAACTATTTTGCTAGTCTCAAAAATCCTAAACTCAGGGTAAGTCACGTTCTTCCTACTCTTTGTATTTTCAAAATTTTCTGTATAAATCAATTAACTTGGTTGATCTTATTCTAGGAGGAGCAAGAGGCAGCTAGGCGACGTCAGCAGAAGGATACAAAGGACAGTAAAAGCAATAGCACCACGCCTACAAAACCTAAAGAACAACACAAGGTAGGAACGGACACATTCACATGATTTGATGTGGGGAGAAAATCCTTTGAACAGGAGTAGTTATGAATCAGCTTTTGCGTAGACTCAATCAGTATAGCGGGACAATGTCTCTGTGCTGCTTGTGTGATTATGTCTGCTTGTGTTTGTCCATGTTGTCTCGCAGCAGGATTCCTGTGGTGAGGAGGAGCGTCCTAGCTTGGTGACAGTGGTCAAGGCTTCTGCCAAACCCAGAAGAGCGCGACACCTGTCCAAAGGTCGCAAGCTGAACAATAAGAAACGTGGTCGTCCCAAGAAAGCCACCCCAGCTGCTGAGAAGAAAAACAAGAAGAATCAGAGCGCGTTGGATTTGCTGCACGCCAAGACCCTTTCTGCAGCACCCCCTCAGGGTCAGACGGCAAACGCACAGCATTCTGTATATGATCTTCTCCAGTCATGTCCAATAAAGTGCTTTTAGATTTTAATGAAAATATTTTTTGTGTGTGTATAGATGCATACCGGCCACCTCAGAGTCCCTTCTACCAGCTACCTCCCAAGGTCCAGCACTATCCTCCTAGTCAACTGCTGCTGAGCCAAACTCCTCCTGGTCTGCAACAACTGCTAGGTGAGTTCATGAAGACACAGTTGAGCGTTGGGCCACTTTCAGTACATTTGAATTACAATATCTCAGGAACTATTAAAGATTAAAGCCTGAGATCTTTTATTTCTCATCATGCCACGGATTCAGAATCTGCCACAAATAGATCAAATAGTCACTGATTATGGGTGAGTTAAAATATGCAGTTGCTATTAATACACATGTGCCCACACTTTAACTTTCTGCACATTGTCTGGGAAGTTAATGGACTCTGCTGTCAATTTTTTTTGTTAATGTAAGCTCAAAGGGATGGGACGTGTCTTGACGACTTCAATTTTTTCAGACTTTGACTCACCCATCAGAAATTGTAATAAATTATTAAATAATAAATGAATAAATTATCATATAATATTGCATTTTCTGACTCAATGACAACATGAGAAATAATGTTGAAAATTTCAGGCGTTTATCTTAAACGGCTCCTGATTTATTGTTGTTCAAAGTTCAACGTGTAAAAAAAAAAATGCTGAAAGTAGGTCGAGAGGCAACGTTTCTAAAAAGTGTCTCAGAAAATACTTATATGTTAATCTAAGATTTCACACGTACCATTTTGTATATCCATAATTTATGATAACAAAAAGTTTCTAGCGAATCAAAGATGGTCAATCAGAAGATGTCTGATCATTTGAGATGTAATAAGCCATAAGGATGTGCAAATCAGAATGCAAAATAAAGTTAACTGATTAAATTGAAACAGCTGGTTTTAGTGAAACATTATGTGTAAATATGAGCAGATGGTTTGAAAAAAGGGATATGATTCTGAAGAAATAATTCTGAAACTGCTAATGTTCTTTATGAAAAGTTAACAGTCCACACGCTTGAACCATGTTGTAAGATATTGAGAGGGGTCCACTTTACAAATGAGAGGTCAGAAATAGAGACTCAAAGCCTGGTCACATGGCTCTGATTAATTTTTTAAACACTGTGTCTGCACAAATGTGATATAAGTCTGCATTTCTCCAAATAGCTGACAAAAAAATGTCGTCTTTATTTAACTCTCCTTCTCTGTCTTTGTCCCCAACCTACACTTATAACAGATAACATCAAAGTTCAGTACCTCCACTTTATGTCCTACATGAAGACTCCTCAGTACCGCTCGAACCTGCAGCAACTTTTAGAGCAGGAGAAGGTAATTAATTACAGATTTTTTTGCAACCACAGTGCATGTTTATATGCATTTTTTTTAGCAGTCTAGAAGAATAATCCTCACCTTCCTGGTTATTAAATGCAAATATCAGTATTTCATTCCACCACTTCACTTGTTTTCCTGTCTCTAGCAAAAACACCGGGACCTGTCAGGGCAGGCGGAGCAGCTCCATTCAGTCTGTCAGTCTCACAAGGACAAGATCAAAGGTCTCTTTCAGACCAAACTGGATGAGGTAGGAAGTCGATCTTTGCTCTCTCCAGACACAGTAAAGTTCCTAGAAATCGTGTTGTATTAGTAACCAGAACATGTATCACATTGTTCTCTTGTCATGCCTGTCCTTTGTCTTTAAAAGTCAAGATTGCGTTGCATTGCATAGTACAGGATGTGTGTTAACAGTTAGCACCTATATGCAGCTATTCGACCGGCCACCTGCATATCTTAAATCTCATTCCATTCATTCCAGTTGTAGATGAACATGGTTGAAAGAGATAATGAAACACAGCTTGTTTGTGAAAGAAGGAGGGTGTACGTTGGGAGTGATGTAGTTCAACAGAAACACTCGACGGTTGAAAGTTTCAAGTCTCGACCACACCCAGCATCCATGTCAGGTGCTCTGCTCAAAGCTGTAACCAAAGTGTCATCACTGTTACCTGAAGTTGCCATGATCATAACCTGGAAGTGATTCTACATCACTGCAGCAGGGTGTGAACTTTAGCCACTAGGTGTCAGCAAAGACAATATTTCTGCCTACTGTAGTGTTTTTGAGGCATGTAGCTGATGTGAAACACTGTGATTTTGTCTGGTGAACAGCTGGGAGTAAAGGCCCTGACAGTGGAGGACCTCCTGCAGGCTCAGAAGGAGATATCAGCCCACAATCGTCAGCTGAAAGAGCAGACTAAGCAGCTTGAGCGAGACATGGCCTTACTGAGGGACCACAGCCTGCTACTGGTGAGACCTGAGAGCCTGTTACTGTTGTTGTAACCTCCAACGTGTTATTACAGAATCATCCCCAGTGGTACACACCTGTTTCCAGTCCTGCCGTTCTGCCTTTTTGTCACGGTGGTTGAACTGACCGGCTGGCACTATTAAATAGTTTGATTTGATTTGCATTCTCCATTTTGATAGGGAAAAGTGAAAAAATAACCGCGAGTGTTTATGATTTCCAGCTGAAGTCTCGATGTGAGGAGCTGAAGCTGGATTGGGGCTCTTTGTGTCTGGAGAGTTTGTTGAAGGAGAAGCAGGCGCTACGCAGACAGATCTCTGAGAAACAGAGGCACTGCCTGGAGTTGCAGGTACAGAGTTCACCGCTTCAACTTGTTGGATGCATTTCCAAGCGCTTGATTCTCTCTCTTCCTCCTCCATTATACTCTCCTATACTGGCCGTGCCTTCTTTAGTCCTGCCACACGCCTCTCATCCACCCCTTTAACTTCTCAGGAAACAAATTCTATCTTCACTTGAACTATGAATAACTTGTAGTTGTAAAGATGAGAAGTCAAACTGTAGTCACAAACATTTTCCTAGACATCACTGTTGTTGCATTGCTGTTTTCCTGTGTAATGGTTCCCCCTGGTGTCTGTTTGTAGATCAGCATTGTGGAGCTGGAGAAAAGTCAAAGGCAGCAGGAGCTGCTTCAGCTCAAATCCTACAGCCCCTGTGACGGCTCCCCATATCGAAAGAACCTGGAGTCACGCTCTTCCACTGACATGGACTCCTCTAAGCACGGCTTGTCCTCAGCCCCAGCTCTCAACGGCGTGAGCCCAGAGCTTTCTATCAATGGAACCAGCTCACCATGTTTTGACCGGGTCAACACAAAGAGTGAGCTTCTGTCTCGCTACCTGCCCATCTCTCCCGACCACGAGATCTTGCCTGCCATCCCCGACACTCGACAGAGGCAGCAAAGCTCCTCCCATGCTCTTCCTGACTACACTCGCTTCTCCCCTGCCAAGATTGCCTTGCGGAGGCACCTTAACCAAGATCCCACTGCCTCTGCTCACTTAAGAGGTCCAGGGCTGACCACACACAGGTTGGTTGCTGCTAAAAGCTGCCAATAATAACTCTTCTTACTTTCTAGTTCTATTCTAAAACGAGCTCCATGAAGCTAAATTCACTTGTTTTTGTGTTTTCTAGGGAACTGGGTGGCGTTAACTCTCCACTTGGAGCCAAACAGAACTGCCCCTCTCCCAATGCATCTGATGCTCAGAATAATCCTAAAAGCTCTGAGAGGGTACATTTTTGTCTTTCTTTGTGTTTTTGTGTGTGATTTTTCTGCAAGCATACAGATTTCTATCTCCCTTACAGCATTTGTCTGTTTCTTCAAACACTGATTTATATTTAGACTAGTTTACTCCAGTAGATTTCCCTGAGTCTTAGACCCCGATCCCTTAAGGGTGGTTTATCCTTAATTAACATTTCCATATTAACAAGCTGTATACCCCAGGCATTTTCGGTAGCTGTAATTAAACCCATTATTACTCTTGATGCGGGTGTTTAAGCCAAAATCCACTTAAAAAGCTGTTGCAAATCAATTATGTGACCATTTGCACGTATATTGTTTCTTTGTACATCATAGCTTCCTTTAATCATCAGGCCTAATGGAACCGCACTGAGCTGGTTTAGGTCATGATGAATTAAATTCTTGTCAGCTATTATTCTTGCACACACACAATGTAGGTCCTGAAGTTTCATGGGCTTGTGTGCTAAGGCAGATAGTTTTCACCTTATACATGTTTGGAAAAACTGCGTAGATTTCAGTGGCTATGCCGATCACATCAGTTAGTCAAACTTCAAGTTAAACGGCTTAAAAAAAAAGCACTACTTAGCTGCATAGTTCATTTTAATGGCATTGTCTTGGCCTCCAGTGCTGCTGTGAGGAACATTGGATTTGAGGAACATTTGTCCTTTAACGCACACATAAAGCATACCTTGAGAATGGCTTTCTTTCACCTGTGCAAAACAGTCAAAATTAGGAACATCCTGTCTCAGTGTGATGCTGAAAAACTGCTTGATGCATTTGTAACAATTCATATCAGGATGTCAGAATACCTGAAAAGCCTGCATCAAAATTATACAGCGCAAGTACTGATGGTAATAGAGAGAGATCATATTTCTCCCACATAAGCTTCTCTTTATTGGTTAAATCCAGAATTTAAATCCTTCCCTTCACATATAAAGCTCTCGATGCTCCATCAGCTATATAAACACAATCACACTGAACTGAAACTGGAATGTTTCCATTGCTCTCTTTGATGCAGGGCGGTAAGGAGAGGAGTCCATCTGTTCAGGGTGACAACAGCATCACAAGCCTTCCGATTAGCATCCCTCTGAGCACTGTCCACCCGAGTAAACTACCGGTCAGCATCCCGCTGGCCAGCGTGGTGCTGCCCAGTCGTGCTGAGAGACTGGTGAGTGTTGTCAGGGCAGTTCTCACGTGGCATTACTACACTAAAAGGCCTCTACGTGTCGTGATCTGCTCAAAATGTAATAAATAAATGTTTACTTGTGATAGATTGGTGTGTACAGAGTAAGATTAATAGGTTACATTTTGCCCTGAAAGACAGTTTAAGATTGATTTAAATTACATTTTGAGATTTTTTTGTTTTATTCTTAAATTCGTTGAATTCTCCGTTGTGATATATTCTCCGTTGTGATATATTCTCCGTATTCATGATTTCAGAGAAGTACTCCAAGTCCTGTGTCTCAAGCAGGTCAGACCAATGGTAAGGACCAGCCCTCAACTCCTTCACATATCGCTCACATGTAATATTCACTGTTACTGTAAAATGATCTGCTGCTGCTTATTTAGGACTACTATCTGTTGACCGTGATCTGGTTTCTGTTTAGGATATTCATCCAGCTCAGGCCTGATGAATGGAGGTCCCCACCCTGAGGACCACAATGGTGCTTCTTCATCACCTCCTCCACACAGCAACACTCCTTTGACGGGACCAATGGGTCGAGGAGGTCCCATCCAGAGCCCCCCACTCAACACTGGAGGGGTGCTCCAGTATGCCGACGGACCTCCGAGGATTCTTCCAGAAGACGGACCAGACCGCCAGGGAGGGGAGTCGGACACGGAGCCCCAGGACAGTGAACTGCGTAGGAGAATCTTCTTCTCTTCTTCCTCCTCTTCATCCTCGTCTTCCTCTTCGTCAGGCAGCGGAGGCAGCGTGGCCGGAGGATCACGCCTCCACCATCACACTGGCAACTCGGCCAAGCAGGGATACCACAGTAACCATGGAAACCACCACCACCAATCCCCCGGCACGCAGCACACCCACACGCCCACACATACGTCGTCATCGCACTCCTCGCACAGCCTCGGCTCTCAAGAAGGACGCAAGCGGGGGAGAAGGAAACGCAGCTCTGCGGGGCCCGTCATGGCCAGCGGATCCCCAAAGAGGAGGTCGTTCCCTGGGATCAGCTCCAACAACCACTCCTCAGGGTCGCCACTCAACATTAACTCCATGGTGAGTCAGCAAAAGCAATAGAGATGTAGACGAACGGGGAACATTATGATGCTTTACTAATAATGATCACTTTATTTATGCAGCACCTTAAAAAACAAAGTTTACAAAGTGCTTTACAGACAGGACAAAAGAAAGGAGGAATTCAGGAACAAAACACATCGATACAACGGCACCAAATACAAGAACAGAAGCACCAAAAACACCACATCAGATAAAGGAGAAATTAGTAGAAGAAAATAGAGAGTAAAACCATAAAAACAAGAGTAAAAATAATAGAAAAATAATGGTAATTGTAAGCAAATAAAGGCTAAAGGAGAACAAAAAGAGCAAATGAAATGGATGAACAAAAATAGATTATACCACATTAAAGCAAGTCTATAAAAATCGATTTTAAGTGTGATTGTGGTGCTATAAAGTTACACTATGATTATTGGGCTACACAGAAAGATGGTACTATCAGTGACAATGAGGTAGAAAACAAGAGTGTCACGTAATTGGAAGTGCGAGGTCACATACAGATAATTGAACAATCAGAGTCAGTTTCTGGTGTTTCCGTTCAGCCTGTCACCATCTTTGGTTCTTTTATTTCTTGATTTTTTTTTATGTGAATGACTGCAAACAACTGCACATATCATAATTAAAGTTACATTCCTCCTGTCAAACTCCAATGTCTCTGCTCAATCAGGTGAACAACATCAACCAGCCTCTGGAGATCTCTGCCATCTCCTCCCCGGAACAATCAAGTCGCAGCCCCAGTGGGCCTGACCTGGACCAGCCTCCCATCTTGAAAAGAGAGCGCCCCCTGGAGCTGAACGGCACAGGTCGATACTCCACAGCCCCCAGCTCCGATGATGAGGACTCAGGATATCCTGCTGACAGCTCCAGTTCTCGGTAATGTAGAGCTCGTACTGTGAGGACAAGAATAGCCACAATGCTGACCTGTCTTTGTTGACTTTGCTGGTCTCGGCTACAGCTGCAGGCTGTTTTCCTCTTTTAGCTGAAGTTGTTGTTCAGTAACAAAAGACTGTTTGTTGTTGTTTTTTTTGCTTTGTTTGGAAATCTTTGATCAGATGTTATAATTGAATAATTTGAGATGCGTCAGCTCTGGGCTTGTGTTTGTTTTGTTTATTATTTTTCTTTCCTTCTAGAATTGAAAGAAAAATAGCCACTATATCCCTGGAGAGCAGAGACGGACCTGGTAGACTAGGTGACAGTGAACGAGGTAAAGACAAGTTAATAAATTAGAATAAAAACTTAATCTTGTCCTTCTGCTTCCTGATATAAACTCTTCTTTTTCTTGTCCTCCACCAGGCAGAAAATCTGGTAGCAGCAGTGGTAACAGCACAGGCAGCGAGGCCTCCTCTTCATCCTCCTTGTCCTCTACCAGCAAGTGGAAATCCACTTTTTCACCCATTTCCGATCCCAAGCAGCCCAACTCCGACCTGAGGCAGGGAGGCTCTCCGTTCGGCATGGGGGGCTCGAGCCGGGGCACGGACTCAGATTCTGACCACAAACAACAGCAGGTGAGGAAAGGGAGTGACGGGGAGTCGTCCAGCTACATGACCCCCAACCCTTTCCTCAGTCAGGAGGCAGGGACCCGGGGTGGAGGCGGTGGGGCCGGCGGCGCCCAGGGAGGCGGCGGATCCGACCAACGCCAGGCCCTCCAGAAGCAGAAGGCCTCTCGTGACTGGGAGCTGAAGACCAGCAACAGCCTGGCCAGTCAGAATCTCTTCATTTCTGCTGCTGCCAGCAGCGGAGGGGGCATCTTGAGCGGGAAGGTGGGAGGAAGTCCTGTAGCAGTTTCCTCAACCACAGGCTCGTCTGTGGGACAGTATCTGGGGTCGCAGTTCCCACTCGGAGGCACCTCAGTCTTACAGTCCTTGTTTGGGGCCCAGACAGGCGGATCCACGGTGAGTGGGACCCCTCGCCTTGTCAACGGACACTCTGCCCTGGGAAGCTTCTCCAGTGCTGGACTGGCAGGGGGAGCGGCTGGAGGTGAGCGTCACTGACAAACTGAGCATATCAAGTGTTATCTCAGGATCACTGAACTGTCAGTCAGGTCTCAGGTTTATTGTGGGGTCACCTTGATAACGATTAGTACGAGAGAATGAGCAAGGTAAGTGGAGGCGCAGTGCTGCTGTCTACATGTTCGCCTCACAGACAGTTTGACTGACTGACTCTGTGCTGCCTTGCTTTGACATGGGCTGGCTGCTTGAGTGATGCAGTTGGAAACACCCTGGGAAAATGTCGCATTTCCAACAGATTAAACAAACTAACCTGAAACCCATGAATTGATACCATCTTATACAATGTTGGTTTTGTCATTTTCCCTGGGTGTCTCCGTTGGACTTGTATGTCAGAGTCATTTCACTTGTAAGCCAAAATACTTAAATCAAATTCTGTTTTCCTGCATTATTCAATTGGCCACAGTGGTGTAGTTTAGCGTTGTCCTGTTACAGTGGACTGACTCTGTTTGCTTTCTGTGTGCTTGTCTCAGACTTGCTTGGCGCTATGCACAACCTGGCTCAGTCCTTGCTTCTCTCTTTGTCCCTCCCCCTCCCCCCCTTCTCGCACTATTATCTGGCCTCTCTTCCTCTGTCTCGACTCTCTTGCCCCTCCCCCCCCCCCCCCCCCCCCCTCCATTTCTGCTGTATGATTTGCAGGTATATTTCACCACGTGGTTCCCTCAGTGTCCTCCCATCAGTTTGGGGCAGCGCTGCCCACCTCTGGAGGCCTCAGCTCTCTGCTCAGTCTCTCCTCCTCTTCCTCTACCTCCTCCCAAACCCAGCAACACACCACCCCCCAGCCAGCCTCCACTCGCCTGACCTCCGTGTCCTCACCCCTGCCCCTCTCCCTGTCCCAGGCCCAGCACGGCCGCACCCAGTCGGTGCTGCACAGCCCCTCTCCTCCCACGCTCTCCCTGCCTCCACCACCTCCCCTGCACAGCGTCCCCTCCTCCTCCTCCTCAGCGTCCACGCACTCCGACCCCCCGCCGTCCTCCCGATCAGACTCCCTCCACTCCTCGCGTCTCTCCCACTCCTCCCTCCACCACCAGAGAGCACAGTCATCCCTCTCTCACTCCATCTCCTCCTCCACCTCTGCCGCTTCTGTCTCTACCGCTGCCGCTGCTTCCGCCTCCCTCTCCTCCTCCTCCTCCCTGTCGACCTCCTCCTCGTCTCGTCCATTCGCAGTGCACTACTCCCCTCGGCTGCCCCCTCCACCACCGGCCAGCAGTTCGGGTGGTGGCGGGAGCATGTGGAGGACTCAGGGCATGCATGGTGCCTACACCACCTCCCAGCTCCCCGGCTCCCGACCGAGATAGGGTTTGGGTGTAGGGGGAAAGGGGGAAGGATGGAGAGGGCGGAAGGCAATTAGAGGGTGGATAGAGGGAGAGAATGAGAGAGAAAGAGAGACTGGTAGGGAGTGAGGGAAACCTGTTTTCCCTGTGCTTCTGCAAGCTGTTGTTCTGATTGAACAAGGTAAGATCATTTGGGTTTCAGATCTAAAGAATAAAACTGTTTCCAAAGTGTCGGGGTGTTGTGCTTGTGCTGGGCTAAATGTGTACGCTGCAGAATCACTGAATGTGTCTTTTCTTGTCTTTGAATGTTTCAGGTAATTGATGAAAGCTACCTCAACATTAAATAAACTATGCAAATGTCCAGGTGTGGACCCAGGCACTCTCCTCATTCACTGGTGCTTCAAACCGTCTGCACTACCCAACCGCCTCCAAGACCGGCTTCTGTACTGGGATCTTTACACACACACACACACACACATGCATACACACACACACACACATACACACACACTCGCACACTAACCACCACTATGGTCACCTTGAGCAGACTTCATCGGTACTGGTCACGTTTATGTGTGGTGAATTAAATTCTTGTTTGTTTTTTTTTTTTGCAATCTGGCTGCTGTCTGGCTCTGAATGAACTGAAGTATCATATCGTGTTTAACTTTAAGGTGCTCCGCAACATGATCGCGCGTCATTTTAAAAAAAATTTTTATCACACCAAGTGGCGTTCAGCAAAAATCATTCGATACATTTTGCTCGTTTAACGTCTCGTTTAACATCAAACTGAAGCACACGGTGCACCTTTTTGAGCCCAGTCTCATCGGGTGTCACGTTTCCTCTCGACGAGCGCGTGTGAAACGCAGACACACGGCCAGTTCACTGAACTCTGCTCAGATGTCATGCAGCTTTGCTTCTGCATGCATGCCTTCTTATCTCTGTTTTTGTCCCTCGGTGAAATTCAATATTTGTTGCAGCATATTTGACCACGAAACAAAACGAGGAACTCAGTATTTTGGGTCTAACTTCACACTGGATTGTAAGATTTAGCTTCTCATGTAGCAGAAGATGTACAAGTCCTGGCTGGTTAGTTGACACCCCTGTTATGTTTGTGATTTGCTCTATTTTTTTTATTTTTTTTATATTTAAGAAATGAAAAACTTGTAAAAAAAATCAATGTTTGGCTTGTTCTGGCTGCTCTAAACTCACAATCCAATGTTTCCTTTCCTTTGCTACTAACAATTACGATTTCATTCTCACCTAATTCTTGATTCAGTGTTCTCATATCAGAAATTAAACTCATCAGTGAACGTTTTCTTACTTCAAATCAGGAGACTTTTTGCATTTTTTTGTCACTGATCAAACATTTCACATTCTCTAAATCAATGAGCCAAAGGATGAAGAACGAGGAGCATCAATTCGTAGGACTGTTTTCATGTCAGCCTCATTAATAGAATAAAGTCAATTAGCATTTTCAGGGGTGCCAGTAATTCTGAGCAGAGCTGTGTACATCTTCATTTTTCTTTTAAATCCCAGAATGAAATGAATTTAATGAAATGGTGCTCTGTGTAGACGTTGTTAGCCGCTGTCTGGCGGCGACACTGTTGTTAAAGTTTAGTGAAGCTGAATCCAGGTGTAAAAAGAGTTTTACAGAAAAATCCAACCAGATTCTGTATTTATGAATTACGTTCTGTTCTTCTGTCAGTTTGGTAAATCACACTACTATCAGGCCCACAGCTGAAATATCCTTACAGCGGAATTTTAAAAGTCTTCTTAAGCTGAAATGATTCATATTTATCTTTGCTGTCGGGGGAAATGCAGGTTTAAGCAAACGTGGACACAAAGGTGTATGTGAAGTTTTACTGCATTTAATCAACGCAAACACGCACACATACACAGTCATGCATGCAAATCCTCACACACTGGGAAAGAAAACATAATGAACCACAACCACAACAAACTACTGGACTCTTTTCACACCTTTTTGTTTGCTTTTTTTAGGTTGTGTAATTATTTTTTTTTGTAAACAATGTTTGTACTGTGAATGTGATTCATTCTCTGACTGTATAGTTGTGGATAATTTAGATTATTATATTTATGCTGTCAGTCTCTCCATTTGCCTTGGTATTTGTTATTTTTGCTCTTTTTTTTTTTTTAAATCCTAAATTGTGTTGAGATTGTAGAATGCAATAGTGTGTGTACTTGACTCACAGTCTGAAAACAATGGTGCTAAGTTTGGACTGTGCCTGACCTTATTTATTCTGTAATGAAAACATCGAAAAACAAGTCGAATACTTGGTGCTGTACACAGGGACATTTGTAAAGCCATTTTTGTTTTGGCTTTTCCTTTTTCTCATATTTAATATGCTATTGTCTCGTTCTTTGGATGCCTAGTGTACAACTGTAGACACCACGTTTCGATGGAAATGCTCTCCAACAGCTGGCTCACAGTCTGAGTAAATAGGTATGAGGGCGTCACGCTGATGTTTCTCACGCGACAGTTTTAAACATGCGTCGGCCCGCTTTGCTCTCAAAGTGAGCCGCTCATCTGTTAGTGAACAAGACACACTGTTTTTGTACATAAGTTTTTTATTGTTTTTAATTGTACGTCTCCATCATAAACAGAAAGGTATATAAAATATGTATCTATATACAGTCTATATATATAAATATATATAAATATATATATGAGTATATATATAAGTGAAAAGGGGTGTTTTGGTGCTGGCATTGTGACCCTTAAATTCAACCTGTTAAACAGGAGGCTTGAAGCCAAGCAGAGCAAAGCATTGCCACCACAGGACCTTAATAGATGGCGCCGAACACCACAGCAGCACCTGAATCCTTGTGATATAAACACACACACACACACACACACACAACTAGAAACTCAGAAGCTGTGTGTTTTTTTTGGTTGTTTTTTTTTAAACACACAGAGGTGCTGTGGCTCGAACACAACTAGATTTCAGCACTAGAACTGTTATCACTTTTATCAGATGTTTCCACGTGTTTGTTTCTGTTTTGTTTTTTTTTTACAAACCCAGATTCTGCAGGAAAAATGGTGCTTCTGTTTCCAAACGATGGCAATTCAGATTTTACAAGTGAAACCTTCAGTGGTGCATACAGAACTCTGTCAGCGTCTTTACACACACACACACACACACAAACACACACACTGTCTGTCCTTAGCTGTCTCGCTGACGAGGCCGCACCTCGTCACGCGAGCGTATTGTGTAACTGCAAGAGACACGCTGATGTGAAACACTCGTCTTACTGTGTGTGTGAGTGCGAGCAGCCAAGCTTCCTTTTTCTCAGATAGTGGGAATACACTTAAGCTCAGTTTGTGTGCGTGCTTGTATTTTTTCCACTTGCCGGTGCATATCTAAGGGAAGATTAGACTAATAATCAAAGCTTTATAGTAAAAAAAAATGAAAAGAAAAAAAAGAGAAAAAAACTCCTGTCCTGTGCACTCCCTCTGTGAACACAATCGTGTTTCTCACCTGCGAGTGTTCAAGTGAAAAAGAAGAAAAGTCCTTTTAGAGCGTAAATTAGAGACTAGTCCATTTGTTACCAGCACTGAGAGGTATTTTGTAATTATTGTTGATGCTGTTTTGATTTTTCTTATTCTTGGTGTTTGATACAATTTCAGTTACATGTTATGCTTTTAATTGTGTCTTCGGATTCCTGTCAATTTTTAAAACTACTAGTCAGACAGACAGCACGGTGCTCTCCTTCACTTAAAACAAGGAAATTGCAGCTATTGATAAATACTACTCTTCTCCTGGTGTGCTGCAGGGTTTTATAGTTTAACAACACAAAGCTCGCCTGGTGGCTTTTTCTGATGGTCCAGTTTAACCTTTGGAACTCTCTCTCTAATCTGGAGGCACGTTGCGGTGTATGTGCGAGTACGAGCGGCCCCCGCGGGAACGTTGCAGGTTTCAGCCAATTTTGTATTCGCTTCTGGGATCAGTCGAAGGGATTTTTTATTTTTTTTTTTTGTCTTTAAAAGTCCTTTGGTGTACGAGCGCGATTTGAATTCAAAGCTTCCACGCAGTCCTCTCCGGCACATCCTGGTACAACATTGGTAGATAATCTGTGAGAGCTTTGCCGTCGAGGCTGTTTACTCTAAATCCTGCCAAAGGTCTTAACTCAGGAACTTCCCAGATAACTTGCAATGATGTTAACGATTTTTTTTTTCTATCTACTGCTGCATTTATTAACCATCTTGTGGCACGATGAAGTCCCTCTCCTCAAGCTCAGGACCAGGATCACCCCCCCCTCATTAAGCATATTTCAAAAAAATTTGTCAGCTGCCTCCTCCCAGTCGCTCCTACTGGCACATACATCGAGGCCTCTTCAGTGAAGCTTTATGAGTCGGTCTGATCTCGAGAAAGCTGTGAAATGGCTACGACTTTCAGCATCTTCCTCATCTCACAAATGCCTCTGTCTAGATTCGTGTCTCTAAGAAGGAGGTCCGCCGTCCTTCATGAGAACCCCTCTCATGGGGCGATGAAGGGCGGATGTGACCTACGGTATGTGTACAGTAGATCTCTGATTGGTGAAGCCAGGGCAGGTTTGAGGTGCAATAATGGCAAACCTACTTTCCAAAAGGCCCTGGGTTTTTCATGGAAAACTTGTTACTGTTTGATGTTGGTGCTTTTATCCTAAGATGTTATAATGAAACAAATGGAATTAATGTTTTTTTTTTTTCTGCGTTTTATGATTATTAATAAAAATGTTTCATATAATATTGAATTAATTTTTGTTGTGTGCGGGTGCAATTCGTCACTTTTTGTCGTCGGGTTCAAGCCGGAAACACTCGAGTCGTGGTGTCGCCTCCTTGTTTCACTCATGAGGCATCTTCCAGCTAATAAAGAAAACAGCTTATTCACATGTTGACAAGATAAACCACTCAGAAACTGAAGAATACCTTTAATGTTGAAGAAGCAAGCATACGCTTACACATGTGGACAAAATAGTTGGTTGGTTAATGAAAGAAAAACCCACAATGGTCACAGAAAGAACTTGAATCTGATCCATGACCTGCGACTGACACCAAGCTCTCTGACACTGGGCAGCACATTTCTCTCTACAATACCTTGATAGTCTTGACATTTCATTGTTCCCTGCACAGATCCAAGACACCCTGTGCCAGATGCAGCAAATCAGCCCCACAACATAACAACCTCCTCCATGTTCCACAATAGGGACAATGTCCTTTTCTTGATATGCTTCATTTTTGCGTCTGTGAACATAGAGCTGATGTGCCAAAAAGTTCCAGTTTGGTCTCGTCTGTCCAGAGGACATTCTCCCAAAAGCTTTGCGGCTTGTCAACATGCAGTTTGGCAAATTCCAGTCTGGCTTTGCTATGATTTGTTTTCAACAATGGTGTCCTCCTTGGTCATCTCCCATGAAGTCCAGTTTGGCTCAAACAACGCCGATGGTGCGATCTGACACTGATGGACCTTGACCTTGGAGTTCACCTTTAATGTCTTTAGAGGTTGTTCTGGGCTTTTTAGTTACCATTTGTATTATCCGTCTCTTCGATTTGTCATCAATGTTCCTCCTGTGCCCACGTCCAGGAGGTTGGCTACAGTCCCATGGATCTTAGATTTCTAAATAATATGTGTAACTGTAGTCACAGGAACATCAAGCTGCTGGGAGATGCTCTCATAGCCTTTACCTTTGACATGTTTGTCTATAATTTTCTTTCTAATCTCCTGAGACAACTCTCTCCTTCACTTCCTCTGGTCCATGTTTAGTGTGGTACACAGCATGTCACCAAACAGCACAGTGATGTCCTTTAACCCTATAAATAAGTCGACTGACTGACTACAAGTTTGTAGACACCTGTGATGCTAGTTAGAGGACACACCTTGATTGAACACGTCCCCATGGTCACATTGTTTTCAGTCTTTTCTAGGGGTACCTTCATTTTTCATGAGTTTATTTTTTTAAATAATTCTGTTAAACCACGGTTCAAAAGTAATGTCAGATTTTTGTTGCTTAATTTTCATAGAATTTTGATTTATTATTACTTTTGTCAGATTCAAGTTATTTCTGTGACCATTGTGGGTTTGGGGTACTAACTATTTTGTCCACATGTGTACATCTCCAAACTAGCCTCCCGCATCTCAAAACGAGCATTAATTTAATATATTCTAAGCAGTATAATGTCTCAGGCCCATGTATCTGGTGGAACCTAATTGAAATGAATATTTGTTTGTGAGAAAGCCTCCACAAAAAGAGCTTCCTGATACCACAGTTCCTTGAAGGGTGACCTTGTTTTGTGCCAAAAAATGCTCGCAAACCTCCCAATAAGCCTTCATATTGAAGTTTTCCACCTGAACCCATTTATTATACACTGCTGGGGTTGAGTTTGCCCAACATGGTGGCCAACAGCATGTAAATAACACTTAACAAGCGCAGATCGCTACTAATGGAGGAGAAATATGTCCAAACATTTCATTAAAATGCTGTTAAATCACCCTGATTTCCACAGAACGGATTGAAATATATGCCGTCTGCAACAAATAGGCGAAGGTACCTGCCAAGAAATGTTCCACAAATACAGTGTTGATCATAACCTGCAGCTATTAGCGAACACACAGGACAATTCCTGTCATTCTTCACGAAAGATTTGTGATGTACAAGTATGAGCCTTGGCTTTATCTCTTGGGATAGACGGCCGCTAAACAGCCCCGAGACCTTGACTGTCTGCAAAACACGATGGCAGCTGTGAGAATAGTGAAGGGAGTTTCTTTGAAAAGAATCAGACTTCTTCTTCCTGAGAACAAGATTTTGTTCTTGCGTGAATGATAACAGATAACCTGCACGCATTCATGAGCATAACCTGCTCTGAATAACACTGCTGCTTTCAGCTCTTATCGTGACCCTGGAGTTCATCCTAACGATACTTGTTGTTCCTCCCAGACACAAACATAAATGATGTGTTTGTTTTCATCTGACACACATGAACACGATTATGTTACAGAATAATTAGAGCCCACACATGATAAAAAAAAAAATCCATTTTAGCGTTTAAGAAATTCTGATATTGATATAATATTGGCTGATATTGTTTATACATGTGTTAGAGTTTGATTAAAAAGTTAAAATGATGACGGGGTTGTTGATTATTGGCTTTCCAGGAACGTATTTCACATGGCACAAGGCTCATTGGAGGGAAACGTCTCATCTGATCTAACAGCTGATTGGATGAGATGTTCACTCAAGAATATGAAATCTGATTTAAAAAAAAAAAAAAAAATTTTATTTATCAACTTTTAAAAGGTGCACTCTACGTGGTGACAGTTGTCAGTCAGAGAAGCTGAAAACATTCAGATCATAAACTGCAGATGATGGATGACTTTATTGTATTTTAACGTTGGGCTGATTTATTTCCTGAAGTATTTCGTGACAACAAAACTTCTGGTAAGGAATGTGAGGAATCTGTACAGATGTTTCAGCCCTGACAGTCGGATGGATCAGTAATAAAAGCTGGGGGTGGGGGGGTTGTATTTTTTCTACTGTAGTTGACTATTTATTAATGTTTTCAATTAATTGATGTAGTTTGAGAGGGACGGGTTTGGCCACCTGAGTTATGTGTGCATGAGGATTCATGTAAAATGAAGGTTGAACCATGAACAGGGATCACAGATCACCTGTACAGTATTTTAATAGGTTGCTTTGGTAAAATTAAAACTGTTGGAGACGGTTTAGAAACTCATATATGCGTCGGAGAACATTTTAATAAATCCTTGTGCTTAAATAAGTTTCTGTGCAGACTGAAGGCTGCTGGAAACTGTCTTTTACGTCCATCTCCTGCTGCTTCCACCTGCTTTTGTTGGCTTTTCAGGTATCGTTCATCTCAAATGAGGCTAAAGTTTGACTCTCCTGCACCGTCTGCTCAGCGGTGATGCACACTCTGCTACATGTGCTGCAGAAGATGTCTTAAACAATGAAACTATGTCTATATGACACCGATTCTAAATTACTTCAAGCATCTTTTTCTGTGATCTCTTATTTTAAAGAGTGTCTATATACACTGATACCGACATATCTGTCACAGGCTAATATCAGTGTATTAGTTGTGCTCTTACCAATAAGAAATGCCATCTGTTAATTCCTAGAAGCGCCCTTAAAAAGCTTTAAAACACTCATGACTGGCTCATCGCAGTGAAATGTTTCTACTGAAAAAATGGTTTGAGACTCGAGTTGCACTGATTGATTTTAATTGACACAAGTCTCACATCTGAATGTTAAATATGAAGGCAGACGTGGTAGAAAAACAAATCAGCCACTGAGGTTCACCAATTAACACTATTTCTTGTGTTGTTTCAACTTTACAAAAGTATAAAAACGCTGTAGTTCTTGTAGGTGCTCTGGACCAGACTACTTCCTGGCTTGTGAAGCTGCTGTGCTCTTCCTCTTAAAAACTTTAATCATCTTTATGCTGAATTCCCCTCTCTCCTATCTTTTATTTTTCTTCCTCCCCATGCCTCTGTTCATCACTCCATCCACGTCTAATCCATCTTTCCTCTTTGACATTTCACTTCCTTCTTCCATCCTTTAATCATTCTCATATATCATACTTTACATTCCTTCATTTCTCATGTTTCTTTCACCTTTCCTTTTTCTTGTCACTCATCCTTCTTCCATCCGTTTCCATTCTGTTGCTGTCCTCTTTCCTCCATCCCTCCATCTTTGTTATGCCTCCATCTCTGCTCCACATTTGATTTTACTCAGCTAAATCTCGTGTGTCCAGTTTAATATAGAATTTATGAGTCAGGCGTCAATTTTCTCATCAAACTCATCAAAAAAAGCAAAAGGTGCGTTTACCAGAATTACAAACTTTTCCTTCAAACCTATTTTCAAGAAGAAGCTTTGATTATAGTGACATTTTAAACGTGCTTGCATCAGCTGAAGCTCATGGACACTAATTTTGTGATGTGATTGTTGTCATTAAACGTGAAATCTTATCGCTCAAATGACTGGATTACGCTGCAGGTGCTGTTTTTACTGAGCTTGGAAAATCCAGTTTTACTCGCTGTGCACCTGCAACCTGGAACAACCTGCAGATCAACCTAAACTGGACTTATTTATATGCTTTGGGCAATTTAGGGCTTTAGTTTCATGTTATTCTCCATCCAGCTCTTGCTTTAGGTGAATTATTTGTTTTTACATTTTAGATACTCAAATTAATGTTGTCTTTTAATTTTTAAAAAATTTTTTATTGGCATTAAAGTTTCTTATTTATGCACCTTCATCTTTAATTTCTTACTTGACATTGAAAATGAGGCCTCCAAACCTCAGTGTATTCTGAAGGAGATTTCAGTAGACCAGCAGACTGAAGCGTCCTTCACCAGTTCCAGTTCTGTTCTTCTAGTTTGCGATTTTTGATTAATATGATTTATTTAGTTGTTGTTGTTTTTTAAATGTAGCTGGTTTAACTTCTGAATCTTCACCCAGCTCAAGTGTTTTCATGAATAAAAGCACTGAAACCATCATAACCCTTTAATTTAACCCATCCTTCATTACTGTGAGTCCAAACACCTTTTTTTCTGTTTGCCTTTCATTCGTACACGTTCTCTGGGTCCAACCTGCTCCCCGGAGGTTCTGTGTAGCAGTTTAGAGCATCAAGGACACACAGTATTTCTATTTTGGCAGCCAGTTAGCGAGAAGGGAAGGTGGGAGGATGCGACTCCCGTCCGCAGGAGCTTGACCCGTTTAAAACAAGCGACTGAGAAAGGTCCGACCACACAGCGAACGTACAGACAGACGGTGAAGCATGCTGGCAGCGGTCGTCCTCTTCAGCGGAGCCTTGATGCTCTGCTGGACCAGAATCTTCGTGGCCCTGCAGGTCCCAGATGGACAGCAGCTGATCCAGGACCCAGACTCCACACTGACAGGTCAGAATCTGAACCACCCAGTCATGTTGTTTTGTGCGTTTGATGTGGTGCTGCAGCTTTGATACGTTTGTTTCCTGCTTCTAACTTTAATTGTCTGATGCACAACAAGAGGTCTAAAACCTGGAGGTTGTTTCTGACTCAGAGTTTCCTTTTTTTACACTCTGGTAACCAAAACTTTACAGCCACACTTTGTGCAACTGAGACAACTAATTAATTCAACCATTTTCTAATTGTTATGAGCAGATGTTCTGCCACTTATCCTTAATTTTCTCAGAAACACTCATTATTGTAAACTGTTTAATTCAGCTATTTAATCATTATTTTTAAGCTATTTAATTTAACAATTTAGCTATTATTTTTATATAATTAATCTAACAGTTTGTACATCATTATAATTAATTCAACTATTTATCCATTATTTTTTAGTTGTTTAATTTAATTAATTCAACCATTTGTCTGTTTTTTTTTTCAAATTTATTACTGTAAGCAGATTATTCAACTATTTATTCATTATTGTAGGCTAATTATTTAGCTATTTATCAAATAGTTTAAGCCTAATAATTCAACCATTTACTCTTTGTTTTTACTTAATTAATTCATCAATTTATCCACTATTTTAGGTAGTTTATACAAATATTTATCCGGTATTTTTAGCTAGATAATTAGAAATGTATCGGTTATTTTTTAGCTAATTGATTCGAGCATTTATGCATCATTTTAAAATAATTAAACCAACATATTTTCTGTTATTTTCAGCCACTGATCCATTATTTTCTGCTAATTAATGTAACCATAAAGCGAATCACATGGCTTTTTTGTGACTGATGGTATTTGTTTTAACTATTCTGTCTTGCAATTTCCTCTAGGAGATCAATAAAGTATTTCTGATTCTAATTGTTTATATTGCACGTTTGAGGTCTTATGAATTTGTTTGCACTTTTAATTTCCCCCTGCTATTTTGTTGTACAGCATTTTGTCATTTTTTTCTCAAAAGGTGAATAAAAACAAAGTTATTATTTTTATTTTTATTTCCAATTCAGATCACACACTCCCATCAGTCTCTCCGTGCTTCCTGGACGACATCTTCGCAGCGTTGCGTGAAGGTTTGGGGACGGACGGTGAACCCACAAACAGCAGTTTGACTTTGTTTGGAATCTGCTCGGCGTCTGATAACTCATCAGGCTCAGTCTTAGCAGAGCTCGCTCAGGAAATAAGGAAGAACCAGACAAACAGTTTGGAGGTTTTGCATCCGGCTGCAGGTAACAGTTCCTTCTGATTTGCAGTGTTTGTTTTGTGTATTTTTAAATCTCTCAGCAGCATGTCTTGTTTTCTCTGTTAGTGCTTCTGTCAGAGGATGATGAGCGAGGAGGCCTCACGTTGACCTTTCACCTCCCACAGTCTCCTTCACTAAAGCTGAACCCTGTGCTGCTGCTGCTGGCGTTTGAGAGCTCGCTCACGGGAGGAGATCTGGACGTCGATTTTACGAGTCAGTCTCTGCAGCCCAACACGCAGGTGAAGAAAGGCCTGGAGGGAATATTGCATGAATAATGTTGTGATTATATGTGAATCTGCCAATGATGTTTTAAAAGAGTAATTTCCCAAGTGTGGAAAAGATTTCTGAGCTTGTATTGTGATGAAGGGGGATCTTTTTAAACATGCACTAACTCTCTAGGTGTTCTTGTTGTTGTCTTCTCCAGTCTGTTTGCATTTCAGGAGAAACCCAGTACCTCCTGCTAACAGGAAAATCAGCAGAGGACAACGTTCAGCAGAAATGGAGGATATCTGCTCAGACAAAGTCCCCCGACATGAGTGAGAAACCATCTTGTCCTGTTTGTACTTTTCTGTCTCATGTGCAGCCTCTTCACATGTCATCTTGTTGCAGGGCAAAACCTGAAAGACCTCCTGATTGGTGGAAAATCAGGAAATAACATCAGCGTGACTCCACTTCTGCTTTTCTCTGGACAAACAGGAACCGATACGAGGTTGTCTTGGCTTTTAAGTTCCCTGTTGAAATATTTGTCACGGCGACACTTGGTTAATATTTATTCGCCCTCTTCCCTCAGCTACGCTCGCGTTTCAGGTTCCTCGCAGACGTCCTTCCTCTGCGAGCTGAAGCGCTTCCTGGGTGCCGTCCTGCCTCAGCAGCACCCCGAGGCTCCTGCGCTGCAGCTGGACTCGTTGAAGTCGCTGCCTCCCCTGACGCTCGGCTTGTCCTCCAGCGAGACCCTGCTGGCAGGAATAATCAAGTCCTCCGCTCCCACCGTCTTCTCCTTCACCGGCAGGAGCTCCGTGTTTCCAGTGAAACACGGAGAGCTGGCCTTGTCTCCGGCTCTGCTGGAGGAGCTCAGGCAGAGGCTGGAGCAGACGGTGGCTCAGCTGTCGGAGATAATAAGGGAGGAGAAGGTGGATGACAGAGCCACGGAGAGGCTGGGGAGGCTCCGAGAATTCAGTGGGATTGAGTGGAAGGAAGCTGCGTCAGGTGATGTGGGAAAGAAAACAGTCTCATAAAGCATTGTGTGACACATGATGGTTCTCTGTGATGAACCTAAATACCCCTCAGAGGACGCCAGAGCTGAAAACTTTAGGGTGTAAATTCTGTGTGGTGTCTACCTTTGATTTGGCCGCTGTTTAGGAAAAATAAATAAAAGGAAAAATGATGAACAAAACTACCAAACCTGAACAAAATACCCAAATCTCTGGAATACTACATCACTAGAGGCTATTGAGAAAATAAGGCCCAGTCGACACCAGTTCTCCAAATAAAACCATTTTAACCTACATATAATTTAACCACTTTAAATGGATATAATACTGTGTTTTCCACTGTGTTTGTGTATTTGCACACTTTGTCAGTGGTGAGCTTGGTGTGGGTTTGATCCTGTCCAACCATTCACCAGAGCATAAATGTCTCATCCATTTATCATTTCTTTTTGCCTATTAGTTTATGTATCTATTATTTTTGCCTAATTAATTCAACCCTTTCCCATTTTCTTTTTGCAAATTATTTCAACCATTTTTTTATTGTAAGCTAATTATTTTAGCCATTAATAAATTTTTTTAGCTAATTAATTCAACCATTTATTCATGATTGTAAGCAGATTATTCAGCTAATTATCAGTTATTTTTAGCTCATTAATTCAATCATTCATTTATTATTTTTTTTAGGCAATTAATTCTTACATCCATCTGTTGTTTAGCTAATTAATTACAAATGTATCCATTATGTTTAACGATTTAGTTCAACCATTTCTCCAGCACATGTAGTGAATCAATTCAACCCTTTATCCACTTTTAAAAAAACAATTAATTTAACTATTTATCTAATATTTTTTTAGCTACATAATTCAACAATTTCTCCATTATTTTTAAATATTTAACTCAACAATTCATCCTATATTTTTAGCTAATTAATTCAACCATTTATCCAATATTCTTAAAATCATAATTCAACCATCCATCCATTATCCATACACCGCTTAATCCTCACTAGGGTCATGGGGGGCTGGAGTCTATCCCAGATGACTCAGGGTGAAGGCAGGGGACACCCTGGACAGGTCACCAGTCTATCACAGGGCTACACTTAGAGCCAGACAACCAAACACACTCACATTCACACCTACGGACAATTTAGAATCACCAATTAACCTCAACATGTTTTTGGACTGTAGGAAGAAGGGACATGAACCAGAGATCTTCTAGCTTTGAGGCAACAGCAGCCCATAATTCTACCACGTATCTATTATTTATTTCAGCCATTTATTCATAACTTTATGCAAACCACATCAAATCATTATCAGCTACTTTAAACATCCTAGGTATTGTTTTAGCTGTTGAATTGTTTCATTAGTAAAAGCACTGTATATTTACATTTGTATTTTCCTGACCTTAAGTTCTTTGGTATAAAGATCCCATGTTCCCACTGTTTATCTGATGCTTCTACTTTCTCCTCTGCATCCAACAGGAGAGACTCAGTTCCGAGCCTTTCTCCTGCTGAAGGCCCTGCAGACGGTGACCTTTTCCTACGACATGCAGCGACGGCTGAGAGCCACCAGAGCAGGGCCCACTACAGGGGGCACTGTATGTGGGCTCAAGAGCCTCACGGTGTCCCTGGAGAAGCACCTCCTCGGCCCACAAACCGCCACCATCAACAACTGTCGCGGCTCCTGTGCGTTCCCTCTGGCCAACGCCAACAACCACGCCATCTTGCTCCACTACCACATCGAGAGCAGCAGCAGCGGTGGCGGCAGCTCAGATGAGCGAGCGCCGTGCTGCGTCCCTGTGGCCTACGAAGCCCTGGAGGTCATGGACTGGAACGAGCACGGGACCTACCTGTCCATTAAACCGGATGTGATAGCCAGGGCGTGTGGATGCCGCTGAGCATCTCTTCTTCTGTATTGTTCGGTTTAGCGCTCACTGACCTCTGCATGTGTCACATTTATTTATTCACTAGTTGTAAATGCACATTATTTCACAGTTTAGTTTCACAAAGATAGATGTTTTGTACACTTTATCATAACATAAATATAATATATATATATAGTCATAATCATTGTTACCTGAGCTACAGAGAGTTGAGTTCAAGTCAAATATGAGTTTTTATTATCTTCTGCTGTGTGTCAGTAGTTTATGAAATGCCATCATTAATATAAGGCTCTTGTACTAAGAATGAATATAGTTTAATTAAATATTTGAATAAAAAATCTTAAATATAGCCACTAAAGATTTCGGTTATCACTGAAAATACTGCCCTCAAAGTTGCTGCTGACAATTTAAGACTATTTTGCAATGTGCTGGTTTATGACCTTTCATAATTAGTTATATTCAAATGAAGATTTAATTGATTAAATTTAAAATATTCATCAGCAGTGATGAATGTTTCTGAAAAATGCATGAACTGAGAGTCGATATTAAATGAAATCTACATGTTTGGTGGTATCATTTATTTGTTGCGTGCTGTTTTTATACACTGGTTGTGAATGCACATTATTTCACAGTTTACTTTGGCACAGGGCTGCAAGGTGGTGCAGTTGGTAGCACTGTGGCCTCGCAGCAAGAAGGTCGCTGGTTTGCTTTCTGTGTGGAGTTTGCATGTTCTCCCCGTGCAGCGTGGGTTCTCTCCGGGTTCTCCGGCTTCCTCCCACACAGTCCAAAAACATGTTGAGGTTAATTGGTGATTGTAGATTGTCCGTAGGTGTGAATGTGAGTGTGCTTGGTTGTCTGTCTCTAAGTGTAGCCCTGTGATAGACTGGTGACCTGTCCAGGGTGTCCCCTGCCTTTGCCCTGAGTTGGTTGGGTTAGACTCCAGCCCCCCATGACCCTAGTGAGGATTAAGCGGTGTATAGATAATGGATGGATGGATTTTGGCATAGCTAGATGATTCATGATGCATGTATTAAAGTGTTACTCACACTTGAAAACCATCATGTTTACTGGAGCTGAAAAGAATTTTTCTCATCTTCCACTGTGTGTAAATATTTCAGGAAGTTAGATAATTAATATCAGGCACTTGCACTGACTATGAGTATCATTTTAATTAAGCATTTAAATAAAAAAGTCATTATTTAATCATTGTGTTCTATAAAGTCACTAAGGATTACAATTATCATAGAACATATTGCTCTCAGAGTTGATTATTGCTATTAAATACAATATAATTTTGTGACAGGCTGCTACATGACTTCAAAATTAGTGATGCTAAAGATGAAAATTTAATTGAGTCATTTTAAAATATTCACTACCAATGATGAATGTTTCTCAAAATAAAAATAAAAAATGCATGCATGTCCTGAGAGTCAAATTTAATTAAATCTGCATGTTTGTTGGCGGACAAGCATCATGTTGCTGCTGTTTATTTGTTGCCTACAGTATTTATACACTGGTAGTAAATGCACATTATTCACAGAAGGGTCTTTGGACTGTTTGCTTTCACACAGATGATGCATGAATCACACACTACAGTGTTTCTCACACTTAGAAATCATCATGTTTACCGAGTTTTTATCATCTTCCACTCTCTATAAATATTCTATGAAAACAATAATTAATATAAGGCACTTGTAGTAACTATAAATGCAATTTTAATTAAGTATTTGAATAAAAAGCCACTGAGCAGTTTGCCTTCAAAGGTAGAGATTTCTGCTGACAATGAAAGACTATTTTGCAATGTGCTTGTATATGACTTTGCAAAATTAGTGACACCGAAATGAATATTTGAGTTATTTTAAAATATTTATTAAATGTGATAAATGCTTGTGAACGAGGCACATCCAGACAAACACTGTTCTAAACAATACAAATAATGGATGAAATGTAAGATTCTGAAGTAAACTTAAGACCTTTTGTGTTCTTTATCTACATCTCTTTGTTGACTCTCCAGGTTTTTTTTTTTCCGGCAGCTTTCTATGTTTTATTCTCTAGCTTTGGGTTTCAGGATGACTTTGGTGCCCATTGGCTTTTTTCTTCTTCTTATGGCTCCAAGTTCTTCAGATCCCCACCACCACATGAAAGTGTCCCATAAGGAAATCTGGAGGCGGAAAGCAGAACAAAAACACACAGTCTGATTCACACAGAAATGGCCCAAATACACTCACTATGAAGCAGACTTCTGTTGCTTGTTATATTTTTATGTTCTGTGACTTTCTGAATCTTCGGTGAGGATGAAAGGCATGCCTAGGGAAGCTTACATTTCCAAGCTAGACTTTTCTTGTTCCTAAAACATTTTGCTGTTTTCTTTTATTTCCCATAAAGTTCTTCTTAAAGGCAGGACAAAGATAAGGAGAAGACGTTCTAAAAATGTTTGGTGATGCTGCTGTTAGACCTTAATGCCCTGAAACAAAATCAAATGCTCCACTGAAAACGTTCTTCCTTCTTTATCAGATAATATTGTGGAAAATGGTGCACGTGGTTTACAAATTCTATACTGTGTTTCCTCATCAACATCCCCAGAACATGCTTACAACATTGTTCTACCTTTAATATATCACATTCCAAGAAACACATTCTGTAAAAAACTAAAGCATCCTGTCATCTGAGGCCTTGATAACATCTGGAGAACATGTTGTAATGTTGGTTTGAGACTGTTCTTCCTCCTTTGTCACCATGGAACACTGTGAGAGTGCTTTATAGATTACAGAAACATTCAACGTGTTCCTTAAGAACATCCAGAACATTGTAGCCAGAATGTTCTACCTTTGTTCATACATCACAGTACGGGGAAGTCTAATATAGAACATTCTGTTATCTGAGGTCTCAACAACATCTTCAAAAAGCTATTTTGAATGCTGCATAGAGAGCATCCTTTTTTTGTTGTTGTTGTGGAAATGTTTTAGAAAAGAACGTTCTCCCACAGAAAAATGACAAAATGTTCTATATTTAATATATCATATCACAGGAATGTTAGAAAATGTTCTGTGTAAAAAAAAACAAAAAACAACAAAACATTCTGTGATCGGAAACCTTGATAACATTTTAAAAACATTTTATGAATGTTGGTTTAAGAACATCCTTCCTTTGTTATCATGGAACATTGTGGAAATGTTTTATAGAAGACTGTTTTATGATGTGCTCCCTCAGAAAGTAAAGGCAAAATGTTCCACCTTTAACACATCACATTACAAGAACGTTATAAAACATTCTGCATAGAAAACATTTCGTCATCTGAGGCCTCGATAACGTCTGGAAAACAGTTTTTGAATATTGGTTTGAGAACGTTCTTCCTCTTTTATCATGGAACAGTGTGATCATGTTTTATAGAAGAGCGTTCTATAATGCATTCTTCAAGAACATGCCCCAAATGTCCTCAGAACAGTGCAGTTAGAATGTTTCACTTGTTAATATATCATCAGGAACGTCTTACAAAGAATGTTTTGTTATCTGAGCTCTTGATAACATCTTGAAAACGTTTTTTTGAGGTTGCCGTGAGAACGTGCTTCCTTTGATCCTTGTCATTGTGAGAATGTTCTATAGAAGAAGGGTCTATAATGTGTTCCCTCAACAAAATAGGCAAAACGTTCCACCTATAATATTATCACATTCCAGGAATGCTGTAAAAAGTTCTGTATAAAAAAACATTTTGTCATCAGAGGCCTCAATAACATCTGGAAAACATTTTATTAATGTTGGTTTAAGAACATCCTTCCTTTGTTCCTTGTCATTGTGGAAATGTTTTATAGAAGAAGGTTCTATAATATGTTCCCTCAACAAAATTGACAAAATGTTCCACCTTTAATACATCACATTACAGAAACGTTATAAAATGTTCTATTTAAAAAAACACTTTGTCAGTATTTGTATATTCTTAGTCAAACAAATGTGTCTACTTATGTCCTTTTATTGACAAGATTTTCTCCAAATCTCAATGAGCTTAAAGCATTTAAATGTATAACATGCAGCAAAATGCAACAAATGAGGTGAAATAAATGTATTAGACAATATCTTTAAACTGCACACACACAGACAGACACAGTAAAATACTTGGTTCCACTCTGTCTAGAGTTCCACACAAACCTCCCTGAAATCACCTTTAAAGGACTCGACACAACAACCAAAGACAGACAGTACCTGAGGTAATGAACCATTCTGCAGGTTTCCGATGAAGGATCTGATACCTGTCTCCTCTACGAAAGAATCCAGAGCTTCTAGAAAACAAAATAATATAAAAGAATCTGAAGGCCTGAGTGCTTAAACAGAGGGGGAAGAGTTCAAGTTTACACATAAGCAATATTGAAACTATTATAATAAAACTGAAAACACTGTTAGATGTAGAAGTACAGTATCTATGTATCGTGTATGCTGCATATTACTGCAATAAATCAACTCAGTACAAGTTTCTGTTATCATAATAATGATAATAGCGTGTGTGTCCCTGCTGTCCTGTAAATAAAGTGACTGAACATGATAACTCACCATGTACTTCATTAACTCCGGAGCTCACCAGCAGAACAACCAAAGTCAGAACTATGCAGCGGTTCATCGTAAATCCCTTCCATGGATTTGGAACATCACTCAGATTTTCGATTGACAGAATCCGGTCATAAGACACTTTGAAAAGACACAAACAAACCAGATTTATTTACTGTATTTTTCCACAGATTTCACTCCCACAGTTGTTTAGGGTGGATATTTGTCTTACTTGTGTTTGCAGATGGTCCACCTCCAGCCTCTAAAGTGGGTTTAAATTGTGACCCGGATCCAAACTGAAGCTGTAACATGAAGAATTCAGTTGTTGGACAGTATATTTTACTATTTGTAGGTGCCTCTACTGGCATTAGCACCGTCTTTCAAACTGCACTGTAAGCCATGGACTAAGAAGATGGCTTAAAATAGGCACATGCAGCTCCGTGAGAAAGAGAAATATGATTATCAGGAGCTCAGAGTGAAGTTTTATATGAAAATCTGCACAGAAAAAACATGAAACTTACATGGTTTGTCCCTTTAGTTGTGACTCCTCAGAGGAATGAGGGTTAGCAGAGTTGCTTTGCTGCTTGTTTCTGCTGAGCAGCACCAGAGACCGGGTTAAATACACCCTCCTTTGCTGTTTGATTGACAGGCACAGATGAGAGGTATGAAAAAAAGGAAAATGACATTCATAGTGCGTAATAATACTGTTCTTTCCAGCAGTTAGTCTGTAGTTGGATGAGAATTACCAGCATTATACTGTATGGTGAGAAGCATTAGGTGCCAGATGGGATAAAAAAATAATATTAAAAAATCATGCTTACTAATCCTGCTTTGGTGGAGAAGGTCAAAACAGATACCTGGCAGGCAGATCCATCGCAGCAATTAACAACTAATTAGTGACTTAAGATCACCTTGACAGTGCAGCTGTTGAAGGTGGCTGCAGTTGTTTTACTCTAATAATGAGTCTGAGCTGCTGCAACAAGCAAAAATCCTGCACTGACAGTGTATGCAGCTTATTATAAAAAATGTACCTAAAGTTGAAGAACTTTCTCTTGACAACTTGTTGACTGCAATAACAGAAATGCTGCACTGCTATTTTGTATAAATGTAAGTACAACTAGGTACATTATCCATCGTGCCATACCTGTACATACCCATATGTATATTCATATTTTTGCCTTCTTGTAATTTTGTATTTCTCGTCTTGCTTTCGCCATGCCTCATTTGTATCTAACTGCTGTGACACACAAAGGATGAGGAGGGAAAAAAAAATAGAGGTATCTTTCTCAGGATCTTGCAAAACTTTCTTGGGATCTCGAAATAACTTTTGCGATATCTTGCAAAACTACAGGTAACTCCAGTCCAGTAGGTGGCGGTAATGCACCTGAACTTTGGATGCCAACCGCCAAATCAATAGTAGAAGAAGAAAACTTACAGGTATACATACTTCTGGGTCTTTTTGGCAGTATGGAGAAATGACAATGGAGGACACCCATCTGTATGAGAGTTTCATTGAAATCGACCTAAACTATAAAGACTTTCAAGCAGTGCTTAACAAGAGGCACAGTTTTCACAAAACATCCAATAAGATCGATGTGACTTTTGCGAGATCTCACAAAAGTTTTTGCAAAAGTTTTTGCAAGATCCCAAGAAAATTTTGCAAGATCTCGCAAAAAGATACCTCTATTTTTTTTCCTCCTTTGTCTTTTTTTTTTCTTTCTCCATGTCCTTTCTGGTTCCGTACACTACAATATGACATAAAAGAGAGAACAATTATTATTATTATTATTATTTTTTATTTTTTTCCACTTTTGTATACAAGTCATGAAACCTTTTGACAGTCAAAATTAATCAGCCAATTTTTTAAAAATTTATTTATTTAATTTATTTTTTAATCTGTGCACCACAACAGGAGGTTTAAACCTGAGACGCTTGGTGAAAAGCCTCATTAAGTGCGTCATTTGTCGGCAGGACACGTCAGGACGAGCTGGCCCCTCCCCCTCAGAACTACCGCAGCTCTCCGCTCTCAGCAGCCCGACATAAGGCGACGAGGAGAGGACAGAGCGAGCAGCTGGTGTGGACGCTGGCCGGATGGTTAAATCTAACCTACAGACGATTTTGAATAGTCATTGTTTTGTTAGAGAAAAAGAGAGAAACTTATCCGAAATGCCAGTTATCGAGCAGTCCAGTAATAAACCCGAAAGTGACAGGTACGTCGTGGTCGTTTGTTATGAGTAGCTCAGCTAGGCTAAGTTTAAAAAACCGCGGCCTAGCTGAGATCCTCCGTGTATTTCCTGGAGCGGCTCGCACAATTCTTCGTGTTTGTTGTTTATATAACAGCACTGCTTGTGTCTGTTGTCGATTCTAAAGCACATTGTGAGCCGCATTTTGTTTGGTAGAACTTAATAAAACGAATTTACCACATCATTTTATAGTACAGCGCCGTTTCTGAATTGTAAACATTAGCTGAACATTGGAATCCAGGAAATAGACGGCTGTTGTTTTTTACGACCCAGCTAGCCAGGCTAATGTTAGCGCATAAGCTAATATGTGAAACGCCACAGAATTGCGTTGGCAAAATGCTAAGCTGTTATCTAGCTAAATGAAATTGTCGACATAGTTGACAGTATTTTGGCATATTTTCAAAATTATTGAAATACTAAGATTAAGTGTTGAAACGTTTAATTAATTAATTTTCTGGTCATTTGAAGCGCGTTGGCACAAGTTAACATGAATGTAAACCTTGAGCCGTTTTAGCTATTAGCTGGCGCTGTAACATCACTTTAATATTTTCATGTTGTCGTCGCTGCAGTGAAAATAATCAAACACAGTAAAACCTGATTGCTTTTGTTGTATTTGTATCGAATTTGAAATCTATCCTTTGAGAATACACGGGCCGCTAAAATATTGATGTAACGTTATGTAAACGCTAGCTTCGTGCTAACCGACGTAGTTGGAATGATGGCTGAATTGATGATTTGTTGCTTCATGCCTTGTTTTTTTCCGTTTGGCCCTCGGGCTCAGGTGTTAGCTCGCACTAAGACATTGTGTAACTTCCCCGAAAAGAAATTAGTCAGACCAGTTTGGTTTGTTATTGGGTATTCTGGCTCGATAGTTAATCAACATCTACAAAAAAAAAAAAAGCCATCGCAGTGTGCATTAGTGTAATTTGTTGTTGCATTAATCAGTGCGGGGGCAGCCGAAGGACTCCGAGGATAGACGGGCTGTTTTTCATTTACGTGCTGATTGAAAGGAAAACTCTGTAGTGGTTGACACCTGGAAATATAGATCGTAATTGAACAGTTGACGGCTCCGGGGTGTTGTTGCCTCAGTCGTGTCCTGACAGGATTTCGGTCGACGCTGTGTTCTATAGTGTTGTGAAGCACTCATAGGAAATTTCCACTGCACTGCGAAGGGGGGGTGGCATGGGCAAATTTGAGTCCAGTGATGACATATTGTACACAGAAGCCTGTTTAATAGGTGTTCAATTATTTTTGTTGTTTACCCTGGTGGTTTTGGCATTTATAGTGAGGGGCATAGATGCAGTTGTGCAACACTCGAGACTGATTGTAGTACATACTGAGATTTATATGTGTTTTTCTCTTAGCTTTTTCAAGCCCCAGCAGGTGCCTTCATAGATAGACGGACACAGTGCTAGTGGTCTATTTTGAAATGCGGCTGGTGTAGTCACAAGCTGCCCATATGAAGCTCCAACGTTGAAATTGTGTTGTCCTCGTAGAGATGAGTGGTTGTTTGCATTGTATTATTTGAAGGCAAACACAAGCTGGAGAGACTCGGTCGCTCATGTGACCAGAGCTGCTGTTTTTCTAAGGCAACCCGGGGTGTGAAACTGCATCGCTGCCTACTGTTTACGTGGGAATTTCAAAGAATGCTGAATCGATCGGAGGGAAAAATAACCTTGTGGTGCATGTTTGTATTCATGCAGAGATAAGTAGCATCGAGGGTTTGTGTAAAGATGGTAATTGGCTATTTTTTTCCCCTAATCTGATAATCTGATTTAAGGAGGAACTGTGTTAGTTTCAATTCTCCAATGCCTTGCAAGATTAGGCAGTAAGTTGGGATACTGCATATTGACGTGGTTAGTCATGAAAATGACACGGTTTCTCATTTGGTTTTCACACATCTGTTCCACATATAGCACAGCAGTGGCATTTGCGCAAGAGAGCATCTGTGTGCCTGAGAGCATTTGCATCACTGTGGTGCTGCTAATGGGTTTTGTTCCCAATAGGAGCTCTGAGAATAGGCCCGCTCCCAACACTGTAAATGTATGCAGCTACACACACAGACATCTGCGCAAGCAAGCCAAAGCTAAATCTATGGAGTGCTTTGACAGAGCTCTGAATTAAAATGGCTGCTGAATGCTGTTTGTCCATGTGTTGTAAACTGGAGCGACACGGTTAGTGAAGGGCTAAAGTAGGCTAATGGTTAGACAAACATAGCCTGTTCTTCTGGCTGGCTTCCTGTAACAGCCCTACAACAAGCTTAAAGTAACCCTAGTGACACCAGGACACGCAAATATGTCTGTTTGTTGTAAGTTATATGTCCTTCATACACAAATGAGGGCTTTTTCCACATGGGAAAGAGATGAGGACCTTGTGTTTGTGAGGTGAAAGCAACATTTGCATCAAGCTGATGTAATCAATATTTGATTGAAAGCAGACTCTAAATTGTGAAATTTTATTTTTGGTGAGTCAATAATCATGTGATGGAGTAACATTAGTCACTTCTGCTTCCCGTCTGTTCAGTAAATGCACGTGATGTCTCCAGAAACGTCTGTTCCTAAAATGAGGACAGTTACTGATTGAATTTTGGCCCCCCAGCGTTGCATTTGACTCTTAAGACTCACTCAACTTTAGCAAATGTTTTACTGTCGTTCTATTGATAAATCACTCAGCGCTATAAAGTGTGCCAGGCCCGCCGGTTATATTCAGAGTTTGGTTTGTGTTGTGTAGCAGAGCCTCCAGTGAACATTCCACTTACAATGGCTCCGTCTGTGTGTGCGTTTGTTTCGCTTTCCAGTATCTCCAGTCCCAGGAGGTGCTCCCGCTGTTGCAGTAACCCGTGTCCGGGGCCTCTGTGGTGCTCCTGATGCCCCTCTCCCACCCCTGAAGATCCCAGGTGGGCGAGGGAATGACCAGCGGGATCACAATCTTTCAGCTAAGCTATTCTATTCTGTAAGTTTAACAACTTTTGAATTATTTTGTTTATTTTTTTTTACTTCATCAAAACTGAACGTCTCACACTTTTCCTCTCCATCTTTCCAGGATGCTCAGTTGCTGGTTCTTGAGGAGCCTCCACCTGCCAACGGCAGAGTGCGTTTCTTGCTCTTTGAGCCCCGCCGCTCCGAAGGAAAGCACTGTGTCTGGAGGGCGGCGCTGAAAGGGGGGAACCTTTATGTTGAAATCCCTCCTGGAGCTTTGCCCGAGGGCAGCAAAGACAGGTCAGTAGATGGAAAGTTTTTGTTCATAATTTAAAAGGGAAATCCTTTGTTTTGCTCTCCTTAATAAAACAAAATAAGCTGTTTTAATTAATTAACAAAATCTACATTTCTACATGGAAACAAAATGAATAAATGAATGCAGAAGTCAAAACCGACATTCCTGTTTTCTTAACTTGTGCTGTTGATGAATTGTTTTACCGAAACAAAGCGTGTCTGTAAATGTAGATAATAGTTGTAATTTGTAAATATATAGTACATTTAAAGTGCTTAAGTCTGATTGACAAAATCCATGACTCACGTGAGCTGTAGGCCTCAAGCCTTTGGGTGACGCTGTTGTTTAGTTTGGGGTGGGTTTCACAGAAATGCACTTAGACTGTCACGTCCAAATCATTTTCCACTGAAATGATTAACAGCCCTCTGATAAATCATTCACACTTTTTTGCTTGTTATTTTTCTTTACAGTTTTGCCCTTCTGCTGGAATTCGCAGAAGAGCAGCTGCAGGTTGATCACGTGTTCATCTGTTTTCATAAGAGCCGTGACGATAGAGGTGAGACTTTATTCTTTGCCTGGGTTTCTTAAACTGCTAACACTTTATTTATCAACTCAGAAACGACACAAGGAATTAATGCTGAACGGTACTAAAAGAAATGATCACTTTTTTGAAAACAAATACAAGCTAGTTTCTAGATACCCTTATGTGATGTGATCTGCCCTTATCCTATGTAGTGTATATTGAATAGACCTTTAGCTACTGTAACACCAACAAATCTCGCTCCTTCTTTAAATACCTACAAGTGTATTTAAAAAGCACAATGCATCCTTTATTGGTTTTCTGATAGTTGTTTTCTTAATCAGTGCCTTTCAAGATTACATCCTTTGTTCATTACATGCCAAGAATGCATCATATTATATATTTATTCTGACATGGGTAGCACTAACTGGTCAAAGGTTTGGAACATGTAACTTCTATGTCAATATCAGAACATCTTACTGATGCTCATCTCTTCACATCTCATCTGTTCTCAGCATCCCTGCTGCGTACATTCAGTTTCCTGGGCTTTGAGATTGTGAGACCGGGTCATCCCCTCGTCCCCTCCCGCCCTGACGCTTTCTTCATGGCTTACAGCATCGAGCGAGACTCCTCCGACGACGATTAAATGACGCTGAGCAGTTACAAAATGTTTGTTGTTCTTATTTCGATCCACACCCACACGTCTTTATAATTTCTGGAAATGAATATATTATACAAGTTCAGTATGGTTGAGGTGTCCTGTCAGAGGCTCCCGTTTTTTTTCTTTTGTTTTGTTTTACCTACCGTGTGCTGTGTTTCAATGAGATTTGCACTAGGGTAAGATGTTAATATACCAGGAATGTAAAGCAAAAGCCCACAGAATATCTGGGCGATGCATCCTCACCACTGTATTACTCTCCATGATGTGTAGTGCTGACTCTGTTCACCCTTCCTGAACCCTGATCATCTCCACAGTATATTTATGATAAATTTAAATCTTACTCATGTAAGTAGATGTGTTTTCATAGTAATTATCGGTTGATTCTCCTGTTAATATTGATTTTTTTTTTTTTTTTTAATGTGTGCATGATTTTTGTTTTGATCCACTTGATAGAAATCTGCATGTTGTAACTGTACTAAATAAAAGTGCTCACCTTAGTGGCATGTGTGGTGTTGTGACTCACTCAGACATTCAGCCTTTAAGAGTGAAGGTCTCCGGCAGTACAATGTGCTGCTTGTTTGCATCTGAAGGGGAAAAACACCTGTTGGCCACATTCACGGCCAGAGCAAGCAGCTGGCTGGTTTATAACTTTGGCCTTGAAAGCTTTAAATTTTCTATAGTTCTGCATAAATATGATGTAAGGCATGATCGGAGCGTCCTTTAAAAATAAAAGACAGACAACCTAATTAAACAAAAAAGGAGAAAAATGCCATAATTAGTGGGAAAAATAATCCAAGTTTGTGACCAATATGTGAGCCTTTGCATTAATAACTACAGCTAAATGTGGCAGTAATCGTCCCATATAGAACAACATGAACTCTGGGATTTTGGGATGTTTCCTCACATGAACTGGTTACCTCAGACCCTTTCATAACACCTCTATTTGACTGAGGTCAGGACTTTGCCTTGCCCATTCCTAAACATTAACTTTGTTCTTCAGTAGAATAACTTGTGTGCTGAAGATGATTTTCTTGCTGCATGACTCACTTTCTGCTGAGGTTTCGTACATGGACAGATGAGCCCACATTGTCCTTTTTCTTGTATAATTCAGAAATTGTTCAGTCAATAACTGAGCCATACTGGCTTAGATGAAGAAAAACAGGCCCAAAACATGATGATACCACCTCCATGCTTTACAGATAGGATGAGGTTCTTATGTTTTTATGCACTGTTTTCTTTTCTGCAAACATATCGCCTCTTATTCAAAGAGGTTCGATTTTAATTTCATCCAAATGTCAGCCTTCTGGCACGTGATTTTAGGTACTTGTCATCTGCAGATGGGCAGCAACGTCTTTGACCTGCCATGCTCATCATTGTTACTGTCCTGCTGCTGGACTTACGAAAATTAGCATCAGCTAGTTTAAGCGAGACCTTTAGCTGCTCAGAAGTTTCTCTGGGTTCCCTCCTGACCTTACAGACTTATACAGATCTTGCTTTTGGAGTGTTTTTGTTAGTCGACAGCAACAAGGATCTTGAAATTGCTCCATTTGTACACAGTCTGGCTGTGAAACTACTTGGTTTTGGAACCTTTACCAGCTGATGAGCTTAAACCTGTCAGTAGTGGGACTGTATCTTAAAGCATTTTACTTGAAATCTTGATCGGTGCACAGAAATATAACATCACAATTTACTGCAAACCAGTGAGAGGTGCACAGAGAGAAATGGAAATATAGAAATCTTTAATAAAAACAACGGAAACTCAGAAACTAGTTTGTTTATCAAAGATTCCGTCACTTATAACAAGAAGCTTATCAAAAAAGGAAGCTTTTAATGACTAGTGATGCATTTTTTATGCCAGTATTACAGAGCTGTATATGAACATTCTAACTGAAAGAGGGATGATGGAAATATATTTTTTACTACGGTCAAAGCTGTGAGTTATTTTCAATATGATACAGACGGACAGTTTATAGATCTTTAAAGGGGCTATTTCATTTTCAACAGTTACTTACATTTTGTCTGTGAGCTTTCGTCAGTGATCAGAACGCCACAACTGACCGGTCACGCTCACAACTGTTTCACAGTCTGTAAATGACAGATATTGCAGACACATGCAGTCCTCCCAGTCCAGAGCAGACTGATCCTGGATCAGTCCTCTCTCTGCCAACTTCATCACCAGCAGGGCTCGTTTGATCATCAGCCAGTTATGCACAGCGCTGGTTGTGGAGCCTCGGTGACCGAAGAGAGGGACACGTGGACCCCAGAGGAGGACCTGAAGCATGGCGGCTACGTCTGACATCTGAGGCCCGCTGCCACTCTGCAGCACGGAGGACACGTGAAGAAGACTGGCTCGGTATGAAGACAGAGCTGAATGCAGAGATGTTTGACTGTCTTCTGGGTGCAGGCAGAACTGAATTAAAGCTGCGATCTGGAGTTTGATGGTGGTAAGAGGCTGAGGTAGAGAAAGAGCAGAAGACTGTGGCCTCAGCACCACACGAGGGGAACCTTGTGTCTTCCACAACATCTGGATCCTACATTTTTCCTCCGTCACTTCCCACTCCATTTTTTCCACCTTGTCCTTCTCCCTGCTGGGCCACACTAGGAGGATCTCCTGGGGTCTGAGCTCAGCTGCAGCAGCACTGTTGTGGTACAGATGGTGCGAGCCCATTAAAATCTGCAGCAGCAGAACACAAACCTGTCGGTCATAATCCAAACACTCTCTGCTGCTCTGCAGCGAGCGGCCGTCCTGAACAAAGTCCTGTAGAGTGGCCTGTGGCAGGTCTCTCTCAACGCTCACAGTGCGACCTTTCTGAAGGAAAACCTGAACTGTGGGGACACTCATGTTTATTGGCTCTGTGCTGCTTCCATCTGGTGGTTTAGCAGAAGAGGCTGCTCTGGGATCCTCAGTTTGCAATGTGCTGCTGTTGTTTTTGCTGGGTTGAAAAGTGGCAATAACATCTTGCACATTGACATGCGATGGCTGATGTTGGGTGCGAGCTGAAGCATCAGTCTGTTGGTGTACCTGCATAGAATAAAAACAATTAACATATAATCACTTGCACTGAAGCAGGGTTTAGTCATTATTTTATAAAGAAGATATTGTGCTGCAGCTGTGACACCTGATGACAGTTTAGAGGAAGTGCTGTGGGTACCGCAAGTCATCACAACAGTTGTCAAAGTTGATAAAGATCATGTTTTGTTACTGGTTGCTATGTGCAACATACACTTTGTCTGCATTCATTTTCAAGTGCAATGTAGCTGTAAGTGTTATGAGTAGATTCACAAGTTGTGATACTGAACATACAGAACATGTTGTGTGGAGCGAATAGAAGAGGTCATTACCCTCAAACCGAGCACCCTCCCTGGGAACTTGGGGCTGTGCAGGCTGTAGTAAGTCGTATCACCGATCTGCTTTGGCTTGCTGCCCTCACACAGCAGGAAATCCTGAGGCTGGTATGAGCTGCCGTCCCTCCCTGCAGCCTCTCCCTGCAGCAGGCTCCCGGCCTCCGCGCTCTGTGCCATGCTTCTGAGAAAGAGTAGGTGGCGATGCTGGATCCCCTGAGAAACCACCCTCTGGTCGACGAAACCGCTGAAGAGGAAGGGCAGTTGTTCATCTGGAGTGTCGAAAGACAGCTGGGAGAAGGACAGCGAGGGGACAGGACTCCTTCTGGCTGCTTCAGTCTCTTCTGTCTCCTCTTCGAAATAGGTACCAGGCATGGGTCTCATCATGTACAGAGGGTTGTCAAAGTTTTGAGGCAGTCTCTTCAGAGGAGGGAAGGGAGACAGAGGAGAGAGTGGAGCGACAGTCATGGCGGGTTGGGAGAAGGCCCGAGTCAACCTCTTCTTCGGAACAGGCGGCGGGATGTCATCGGAGAAAAATCTCAGCTGATGTCTGGAGGAATCTGACGGTGAGAGGGATTTAAGTCAGACTACAGCAGAGAGGAATGAAGAGACAGTAACTCCAGAACAGTCTGTAGAATCTGCAAGTCACTGTTTAAACACCACATGTATTTCGCTGAAAGCAAAAGTTTAAGTAGGTGACTTCCTCTCTTTAGTTCTCACGAACTGAAAGGCGAACTGAGAGGAATAAACCACATGTTGTACCGGGCCACGTCTTTTCCCCATCACGCTGAGCTGTCAGTCACAAACAGCTGGCGATGGCGTGAAATAACATTTATCTGTTCTGACGACGTTATTTGCAGCCACTACCCCTCATGAAACTCCCTTCATCAAACCTACCGTAGCGCTGGTGTATGGGGCACTGGGCCGCATGACAGTCGGTGGCATCGGGGAAAACATCGTTGTACGCATAGTTTTGATGCTGGAGTCCAACGGGGCTGAGCATAGCACAGTCAGACTCTGCACTGGAGCGTCTGAGGGATGCACAGAGTAACATATGCACAAACAATCTGATGCTGCAAGAAGTTATAGGTGCAAGTTCTGTGGTGCAAATTACATATACGTGGATGCAGTGATGAGCTTTGCAATCTGCATTTGTCTTCTAATCAGGATGCTCCAACAGCAGTTTAGTTCAAGAACCAATGAGAGATTCTGGAGTATAAGCACAACCAATAAAAGGCAGATAAAATATGTAGTTTGTTACCTGTGCTGTTTGACGGGTAAAGCTGGTGGCTGCTCCTCCGTCCTGCTGCCGACGCCAGACGCCATCAGGTATCTACGAAGTTAAAACACTCGACCTGCTCCTGCACCTCTGACACGCTTCACTCCTGACACACAACGCAGCGAGTGTGAGGTGACTAACCCATGCTGAAAGACTTCCTGTCTATCTCAGTTACTCCCTCTGTCATTTTTTTTTCTCTGCCTCTTACTACCTCATCCTCCTAAGTTGAACATTTTAAAGTGAGCTTCTTTTTTTTTTTTTCATTTTCTGTTGCTCAGCCTATCGCTGGCTCTGATGATTTTCAGTCTAAGCTTGAGGTTGGCACCGGAAAAGTTATGTCTGTTCTGAGGGTAAAACTGCACTCTGAGTTAACCTCAGCTTGACAGAATGGGGAACAGCAGTTTCACCCGAGCCCCTTCAATTTGCAGTTGTTTTTTTTTTTTGCCCTTCTTTTTCTCAGTTGTAGTTGATCTACATTCGCCATGTGCAGCTTCAGCGTGCAGTTTGTCTCCTCTGGATGATGCAGTTTGAGCCTTTACGTGTGCAATAAGTTCTCAGAGGCTCGGTGCTTGCATGTGGTTGCTTTTGCTTTTACTGACTTTGAAGGAAAGGAACAATATTTAAGCAGATAAAGACAGGTGTAAGAGCTTGTAGCTGCCTCCTGAAAGGGCCGTGAGTATCAGGAAGCAGCTGCTCAGTGTTTCCTTTAACCTCTTCTCAGGAATGACAGGGCTGGAAATTTTTTATTTATTTATTTATTTTTGGTGAAAATGTAATTCAACTCATAAACCATTTCTGTCTGCAATCAAGTTGACCAAGAAATGTTTTCTTTTACTAACTGTATGTCCTGACAACCAACCAAATGAGACCAAGAGCCTATAGCCACATTTTACACTGTAAAAAATATACTTTTAAAATATTTTTCTTTTACACATTTTCAAAGTTTTGATAAATTACAGATCACAGAAAAGGAACATATTTTATGCATTAACATTGAAAAAAACTGACAAAAAAAGGTGAATTATGTCAACATCAAAAATTTGTATTTTTATAAGGTTGGACTGTAAAATGACACGATACACACATTTTTATTTTTAATTTTTTTGCTGTAATTAAATCAGCAAAAATATTTTATTTTACAGATATTTGTCTTTTTTGAAAATATATTTATATAATTTTTTTATTTTTTTAGTGACAAATTATTTTACAGAAATTTTGTTAAATTACAGATAATATCCAGTAAAATTCCAGAAAAAATATTAATTCACATGTTGACTGTAAATTAAAAGTATTTAGTTATTTTACAGTACATGACTATAAAATAAAGTTTTAAAATATTTAAATCAGCTAAAATTATTTATATTTTACAGACAGTTGCTGTTATTTTCAACTTTTATAGTTTTTGAACAATACAGCATTCCATTGATATGATTTTTATTGTATTTTCCTGATACCTTTGCTGCCAAATTTTCTTTTTTTGTTGTTTAAAAAAGATTATAACCTTTTTATAAATGTTATTTTTAACAGTATAGCTGATCTGTGAGCCTGTAAGTGAGCTGAAAGCTATCACTAGCATGTGAATATGAAAGTCCAAAATGAATCCTGTCCATAAGGCCATGCTGCTGGTGTAGATACTATAAATGGGGATGTTGTGGGCAAACACACGCTACAAAGCCTCTTAAATATTAACGACTCATTGTATTAATATTTATGACGAACAAATCAATCGTCACCCTGCAGCGCCACTTACAGACCTACAGTGTCAGAAAGGCACAAGTGGATAAACAAGTGATTGTCGTTGCCAGTTTAGGGTATCCTGATTGGTGCAATGACACAAGTGTGATGTCAGTGATATATATAAAACTCCCACACACCCATATCTGTCTATGATATTCTAATATCTGTCATTATCTGGGCTGTCGTGCTTCCTTGAGTGCATTGTGCTGCTGAAGTGCCCCACAATGACTCACACATCCTCTGGGTTAAAGGCCTGTTGTCTCTCAGTTTTTCAGTATCTGTCAGACCACAACGGTCATCTATCTCACTGAAAGCATAATGGAAACATCTAAGAGTGACACGGCAGCACCATGTGTTTTCCAATAGATCATTTAAACTCTGGTGTGTGTCTGAGCAGCACGTTAATGTTAAATCTTTTCAGCTTTTTCTGTTTCCTTCTAAAGGCTGAACTTCTACTGAATTTTCACTTCCATCTGAGAACAGAAACGGAGAAGCATGCACACGTCAGAGGATCAGAATGGGTCACCTGCTTTACACAACTGGTGCCACACAACCTCACCATATACAGGAGAGAGCAAAAGTTTACACACCCTTGTGCAGACCATGTATATCATAGCAGCCTTGAGTTTCAAATGACTCCTATAACTCTTAACTTTCTATAATGGAACCTTTGAAACACATGGTCAGAGCAACCAATCATGCATTTGGGTTCTGTCATAGGTTTATTAGAGCTCTTCTGGAAATGTTGCAACATTTTCTGGGTCAAAATGTCTTTGATTCAATTTTAACACTTGTGTGGTGATCCTAGTTTTGCGCATTTGTGGTGAAACACTCTTTGGTGTATGTTCTGGTTGTTTTTGGTGGCTGCTGGTGTTTTTCAGGCTGGGCGGGGTTTTTGGACGGGAGACGTTTCACTCACTCTATCCCACACCTGAGGCTCATCAGTCATCAGTATAAAGCCTGCCTCCACCTGTGCTCCAGCGCCAGTGGATTATCCTCCCACGAGTGGCAACAGACCAGCTTGACTGTGTAGAAGAATTGTGTTTAGAGAATCTTGCTTTGTCTAACTTCTACCTTTGTCTGCGCTTTGCTACCAGAACCTCCCTGACGGACCGACGTATTCCCCGGCCTAGCCCTTTGCAGCTCCCTCACTCGGCTCCCCTCATGTGCTTCCTGGTGTCTTCTGTACCTTGCAGCCTGAGTAAATCCTTCTTTCCTAACCACCAACCCCTCTCTTGCTGTTTTGGGTCCCTTTCCTGTGAACCTTAACAACTTGGTTAAACGTCCTTTGGCCATTTCGAGGCACTTTCAGTAGCTGTTTGCAAGTTTCTGAAAGCTCCTGGTTGTATCATTGACCACTGCTTTTGACAGCATTGGTGCACTTTAGCTAAATTTGTTTGCTTTCTGACACAGACTTATTTCTTTAGCACAGTTTACAGGTTCATCATGTGGTTTAAGTCAGGACTTTGGGGAGAGGCCCGTCTAAAACCTGAATTCTAGCCTGATTTAGTCATGTTTTGATGTGTGTTTTGGGGTCATTGTCTTGTTGGAACACTCAAATGCATCCAAAACCAAACCTTCAAGCTAATAATTTTAGGGTTTCCTGAATAAGGTGGAGGTAATCCTCCTTCTTCATTATTCCATTTAGTTTATGTAAAGCACAAGATCCACTGGCACCAAAACCCCAGAGCATGATGCTGCCACCACCGTGCTTGGTGGTAGGTTTGGTGTTCTTGAGGTTAAAGGCCTCACCTTCTCTCCTCCACATGTATTTCTGGTCAGTGTGCTAGCTCTTTATTTTATTTTACAGCAGAACTTTCATCTGGAAGGCTTTTTCTTTGTTCATGTAATCAGCAGCAAATTTTAATTGAGCTTTAAGGTGCTGCTTCTGGATGAGGAGCTTCCTTCTTGCACGGCAACTTCTCAGTCAATAGTGAAGTAAAACAGTGTTTCAGCAGCTTCAGACCTGCTTTTTAGCGATTCTTGGTCAATTCTTGACCATCCTGACCAACTGTCTCTCAGCAGCAAATGATAGTTTGTGTTTCCTTGCTGATCATGGAAGTGACACAACAGGGCCATGCACTTCATACTGACCAACGATTGTTTGTACAGATGAATTTGGAATCTGTCGCTGCTTTAAAATGGCTCAAGTGACTTTCTTGACTTGTCCAAGTCAATGATTTGCTTTTTCAGATGTTGGCTGAGCTCTTCAGACTTTCCCACTGTAATGTTTGTAGCTGAGTCAAATAAAAGCATCAAATGGGCCCTATTTAAACTGGCTTAGAGGAGTCACCAGCTGTAGTCAATCATAATCAAGAAGTTAGGAGGCCATGCCACTAAGAACTTTTGATTGCCACAACTTTCTACATCACCAAAATCGATAGTTCATGTCAATTCTGGTGATGTAAGTATATTTTTGACACAGTAGATTTTGTCAGATTTCCAGAACACCTATAATAAATGTATGAAAGTGTTCCTGATTGTTTAGTTTTTTGGAAACTTTAGAGTTATGAGTCAGTGAAAACTCAAGACTGCCATGATATACACGGTCTTTACAAGTGAATGTAAACATTTGTTCATAACTTAATGTACTTTATTCCACACAAGTTTTTGGCTGTCTTTCCTCATTTCAGTGGTATAAAGCAAAATGTGAATTTCTTCCATTATCAGTTGAAGAAAGTGTCACATTATTAGAAATTTTCTGCAATAAATCCATCCATCCATTATCTATACACCGCTTAATCCTCACTAGGGTCGTGGGGGGCTGGAGTCTATCCCAGCTGACTTAGAGACAGACAACCAAGCACACTCACATTCACACCTACGGACAATTTAGAATCACCAATTAACCTCAGCATGTTTTTGGACTGTATGGGAGGAAGCCGGAGAACCCGGAGAGAACCCACGCTGCACGGGGAGAACATGCAAACTCCACGCAGAAAGATCCTGGTGTCCTCACTGGGACACGAACCGGCGACCTTCTTGCTACGAGGCCACGGTGCTAACCACCGGGCCACCTTGCAGCCCTCTGCAATAATTCATTTTGATGAGCGTTTGTGGAAACTGTCGAGAGAGATGTTGGTTCAGCTTGTGGAGGCTGTTGTTTGTGGTTGAACTGTGTTGTTAGTGGTGTTTCTGACTTTTTTTGAACACTGATTATAAGAAAATAATATTTTAAAAAATGCAATTAAATTCGGAGGTGGACTGTGGTATATCGGAGAGAAGTTCTGTAACTTACTTTATTTTTTAATCAAGATAAACTTTGTCTCACACTCATCTGCACCTCCCTCTGTGTGTGTTTCCATAATTACAAACCCAATATTTCTCTAACTTCAGTCCTAAGCAATTAGCGCGCTTTGTTTAAAGAAGGTTTTAAAGAGACTGAATATAATCAGAGCTGAAACCCTTGTTTGCCTCAAAGCATTCATGAGAAATCGATTACATCATGCGTATAAACAAAGGACATGGAGAGTGATTAGAAATTTAGATCACCTTTATCTTTTTCTTGTGTTCAAGGACTCACTCCTGTATTTTCCTCGCCTGCTGCTTAGAGCAGAGCACTCCGCGCCATAATGATATTAACCCACTACATTTCAGTGTGTGGGAGCGGTAAGGATGCCGGCTACAGGGGTGCATTAGGAGACCATCACTAAGGGCCTCTTCACAGAACCTCTTCATATGCTAAAGAGCAAAATGCTTGGTTTCTGTGCCTGAGGGACACATTGAGAGCTGCAGGACTCAGTGTTCAGGCCGACTGTGGAAACTATAAAAAGGTACAAGGGAGTGAATGGGAGTAGGAAGCCTGGGATGGAATGACATTTAAAAGCATGAACGTGATCGAGGAATTCATTAACCTGAAACAAATGGAGTGTTTGTTCTGATCATCATGAGGATCTTAAAGGTGACCGTCCCTGGTTCTCGACATAGGAGTTGGGTTTTGTAGCAAAACAAGCCACCTTTAGTTTTAGCGAACAAGAAACAAATACTTTAATATGAAAGATCGTTAGAGAAGACAAAATAGTGCAGGAGTAGTATGTTTTTCAAGAGGTTTCACAGTTTAATCATACTGAAGTTATTGTCTTTCTACATCAAATAAAACTGCGTTTCATAAAACGCTTCAAGGTCATATTTTTTAAATGAATAAATGCATAATTGAAGTTCATTTCTAATGGCGGGGGATGAAGTGTTTCCTTATAAGCTCGTAGAAGTGGCGTTTAAGCTTGGCATCTGGGTGTCTTGCTGTAGAAGAGGATGACGATGAGGCTGAGGCGTTGCCGAGGGAAGCAGAAGAAGCTTCTTTCTTGACTAATCTGTCCTTAGTCTGCGAGTCAGTCGAGTCTTTGGATAGTCTCTTCTTGACTCCCGACAGGTGGGAGGACTTATTGTCTTCTGGGTTCATCCCTGGAGCTTTGCTGACACAGCGTGGAGTCTCGTCGTCTTTGTTTAAGCGGCGCAGCCCAGCTTGGCAGAGAAGTGCCTCCTCGCTGGCCATCTGGGGGCTCTGGCTTAAGGTGACAAAGCCGTATGGAGTGGTGACTTTAGTCAGGTGAGGCAGGGAGAGGGCGGCTCTGCTCGCCGGGTCCAGGCAATGTTGGGCGTCTTTGTAGGAGCTGGGGTAGTGCATCTCCCTCTGAAGGAGAGATCTCCTCTTGGTCAAAGGGTCTGAGACACTTCTCTCGGCTCTGCGGTCTGACAGAACCAAACTGAGGCCGGAGAACGATGTAGACGATGAGATTCTGCTGCAGAGAGGAACAGATGACTCCAAGTCTGTCCCGGAACTCCTCGAGCCTCCATCTGATTCTGGATCGTTTTCTTCTGCGTCCTTGTCCAGTGATCTGAGGCTGGTCTGCACCGACAGACTTGGTATGGTGAACTGCGGGATGCTGTCAGGTGTCAGGATGTTTGGAAATATGTTCTCACGGCTCGTCTGAGAGTCTGTAGAACACCCGAAGGACTTTGCACTGCCGGTCGCCCACAGGAGTGCACGGATCCCTGCGCTGCTGTGCCTGCGAGATAAAGCGAAATCATCTGAAGGTTTGGTTCTGCTACAGATAGTTCCAATGCTGAACGTTCTTGTGACTGGATTTTTATCCATTTTTAAATATCTCACACTCTCTCTCTCTGCAGCCAGACTTGGTTGTAGTTTGGCAAGAGAGCTGTGACAGGCAGCTTTTATAGTTTTGTCTTTTACCAAATGCATCAACATGCACGTAATTGTGACGAAACCCAGTACCGGAAATGGTTGCCAATTAGGGAGCTTGTTCAGTATGGAAGGAAATAATGATGAGCCTCTTTATTAAACATCATTCATATGCATATGAGCAGACAGAACAGCAGCCTCTCGCCGTCTCTCAAACCATCTGGTGACTGCATGCAGGATGTATAGTCTGAAATTAAATATGAACTCCTTTTTGGGAAGAAATCATTTACCTTTTAATGTTTAAAGGATTTTAGCCTGTTGTTATGTGCAGTGGTGCTGCTGGTATTGTTTATTCTCAGTACTAAGTGATCTACTGAATATGGAAGTCCTGGGGGCAGATAAAACGCTGCAGTCTTTCTTTGTCTTCAGGAGGAGCAGCAGCGTAGATGGTGATAGAGGAGGTGAAGATGGACTCAGTGATGAAGGTGTAGAAGTGCACCACCATTGTCTTCGGGAGTAAGTGCATCTTCTGTCAGGCTTTTTTTGGTTCGGAGCGGATGTTCAGCTGATGATCAAGCTCCCACTTGTAGGTGAATATAATACAGAAATAATCTTGATGTAAGGAGGTTGAGAACAACAATCATCACATGCTCCTCAACGTGACTCTACAAAAAAAAAATTGTGTGTTTTGTTCAGCCAACAGTCCAAATCTCAAAGGTTTGACACATACAATGCCTATGAAAAGTGTTCACCCCCCCTGGAAAGTTTTCCCTTTTATTGCTTTTCAACATTGAATCATGACCAATTTAATTTGGCTTTTTAAAAAAAATATTTTTTCCATGAACCTGTATTTTCAAAAAGATTCTTTAATGTCGAAATGAAAATCAATTTCTACAAAGCAATGCCAATAATTAAATATGTGAAACATAAAATAAATAGTTGCGTAAGTATTCATCCCCTTTAAAGTGGTTCACCAAATTCAACACAGGTGCAGCCAATAGGTGCCAGAAGTCACACAATTAGTTAAATGGAGATAATCTGAGTGCAGTGAATGAGTGAAGGAGGGAGGCCACTAAGACACTGGCTGGTGAGGCTGTGGCGAAGAGAAAGACACTGATGAAAATAAGCTCATATTAAATTAGAACTAAAGCTGCCAGGAGGCATGAGTGAAACTTTAACGTCAGCTGGAAGAAGGCTCCTTGGTCTGATGGACCACTGAGCTTTTTGACCATCTGACATCATCATAAACACACCATCCCAGCATAAAGCATGGAGGTGGCATCATCATAATGTGAGGATGATTCTTAAATGGCTTAATCTGTTTTGTCTTTGACAAGTAAAAGTCTTTTATTTGTCAATTTTTGTCAGAAAGACCAATTTATATCGACCGTGATTCAATTTTGGAAACCATTCAAAGCTTCATTATTGTGTGTTAATCTGCATGACTAACATGAGTTCTCCCAGAACTGCAGGCCAATTTGGAAATATGGTGAATGTTTATACATGACGAGTGAAGAGCAGGAGCCTGAGGGTTTTTGGAAAGATGTGCCAACTGAATATGAAAATATGCACATTTTTTATGTAAATGTGTAGCCTGGTCACCAACTTGGCTCGTGCACGTTTCATATGTTTCTCTTTATTTGAGTATTTAAGAAACCCTGTTTGCAAAAGGTCAAAAATGAAAATCACCCACCTACAACATCATTACAGACTAATTAAACTGCAGGTCACATCTCGCTGCAATCATTTTTGTTTCACTGTGGGTGCTGAAAAATAAGAACAAAATGATTCAAACAAACAAAACAGTATTTAACTACAATTAAAAATAAATAATAATAATAATAATAAAAATCTTGTTACTTTATAGATTTCCCAAATTTTGTTAAGTTACAGATTGTAACTAGTAAAATCACAGAAAAAAGTTATAAATTACACGATAGCTATAAAAAAAATTGTAATAATGAGAAATAAAAAATAAACTGGCCAAAACTGATAATATTGTGCACATCAAAAGTCTTCATTTTTATTAATGGTAAGTCATTCTTTTACACTGTTTGACTGTAATATGACTTTTACAGTTTTAAATCAGCATTTTTTTCTATTATACATATCTTCGCTGTTATTTGAAGGAAAATGTGTGTATATGAAGGATTGAAAGCCTGTATAAGTTACAGATTAAACCTATTAAAATCATAGAAAAAAGGTATTAATTTACATGCTGAGTGTAAAAAAGCAGGCAAAACTGCTCATGATGTCCATAATAAAGCTCAGCATTTTTACAAATAGTGATTGGTTCTTTTACAATATGTGATGATTAAATTACACTGTTTTACTGTATTTAAATCTAATAAAATCATTATTATTTTACAGGTATTTTGCCATTATTTATTCATTTTCAAATTTATTTATTTTTAACGTGAAAGTGTTCCTGTTTTTAATGTACTTTCTGGTTTCTCTAGCTGCCAGATTTTTATTTATTTATTTTACTTTTTTTCTCATACAGATTTTTTTTACGTTGTAGGAAACAACAATGTCAAATGACAGCTAAACCATTTTAAAACATGAAGAGATTACTTTCATGTAAAAAAGCTTCTTAACATTTTACATTGCTACACAAAGAAAAGTTTTTTGAGGTTAAATCAATGACCAGTAAAATGAGTAAATATGTAAAGTTATCTTTATGACTGAAATGAATGTAGGTTATGCAGCAGGGTAATCACGGGTCATTAAAAATAGTTTATAATAATATGATTTATGTGAACTCACAGCAGCAGCAGTGTTGAGTAAAAGTGTGCTGTTTTTATTTTTATTACTTTTATTGTTATTCGTCTCAGTTTGATTTAACACTGTCTCCTTTGGGAGGTCAGTAGATCTCTTGACCTCCTTGGTTCAGCCTGATGCAGGTCAATTGGAGGCATCTGCTGATTGGTCCCAGCTGATTGTGCCAGGTGCATGTCTCTGCGCTGATTGGCTCCACGGTGTTACCTTCAGGGTACATCTCAGCCACCACACATCTTCATGCATTAGTCCTCCAGCTTCCCCTCCTCGTTGCAGCCCGTCAGGTGGAGGTTTTGACCCGCAGCAGGATGACGAGTGAAGTCCATAGAGACAACGTGGAGCAGCAGCAGACCCAGAACACCGAGGTAACGCCACATGTAGCCCTTAAATCCAACTTTTATGAGCACAAAGATGGGTTTTGATGGACTTTCACCGGTTGTGTGTCCTCTCCTGCAGGACAGAGTTGTGAGGACAGACGGCGTGCTGCGCTCCGTGCTGCGAGGCCTCACGTGGCCTTTACGCATCCTGGTGCGTAAATCTTCTAGCGTGGAGTTCATCTCACCATTTTCAGCTTTAGACACAAACTCAGCATGGCTCTCTCCTACAGGGACGGGTATACAGCGGGCTTTGGTGGATGCTGGGCTACCGGCAGGCACAGGAGACGGTCGCCGCACGTCACAGCCTCACCGGCCGCAAGCGGCTGCGTTGGATCACCAGAGTGCTGCTGTACATCCTGCCCCGCCGGGTGCAGAGCGCTCTGGGCTACCCAGTGTCCAGCAACATCGGCTGCTCCTTGTCCCCAGGTATTGGAACATTATTATTTCTTTCCCCCTAGAAGTTTCAATATAGTGGTGTTTTCAGTGTTGTGGCAAAACGTCATGTGACTTGTGATTTCTCAAACTTTGGCAACGAGGATACAGTTTTCACTTCTGATCCCAGGCTTGTCAGGCCTTTTTTAAAGTTATTTTTTTATAAATGTCCTATTTGTAGGCCTGCAAGTTGAGCATAAACTTCAGACTTCCCTGTTTGAGATTACTTTTACTATTTAGCAGACAAAACAATTTAAAAATGCATATTTGGCTCAAAGAAACTGGAGAAAATCTGCATTTTCAGACTTTCAATATGTTTAAATACAATAAAATGTTGCTTGCGTGGAGCTCTACTTCAGTCTAGAGAAGATAAATTGGTGTTTACTGGTGTAGAAATTACATTCTCAGAAGGAATATCTAAGCCGAAGCTGCACAATCTGGTTTAAAAAAAAAAACAGGTAGCTGCTGCCAGATTGCTTTTGTCTTCTGCCATGTGCAGCAGTTCCTTAAACAGAACACAACAATGAATTGTTTCTTTCCCTGTAGTGTTGCTTTGCCATTTTCAATCTGTCAGCTAGTGCCTCCTGTTTAGCCACGGCTGACAACAAACGTCAGATACTCAAATGTGTTCATCAGTGCGTGACGGCTGTTTGTGCGATAGTCTGTTTTGGGTTTTTTTTGTTTGGTTGCTGTTTCCTTACGAACTTGTTTCCCAACAGACCTCAGAGTCTCTCCTACGAAACCTTGTGGCAAAGGCAGCAAGAGGAAGCAGGATGAGGTGGACGAGGAAGACGACGACGACGAGGAGGAGCATCAGACTTGGGTTGAGGCGCTTAATCAGGAGCTCGATGACGACGAAGGCCCCGAGTTGGATCCTGACTTTGAGGTTGGTGGTGATCTTTTCAGTTTAATGCTGAGCTGTAAAGGTGATGTCAAGCATCACAACATGGTAGGATGAGCCGAAATCGACTGTCTTCAGATCATGTGCTGAGCATTCTACCCTGCATTACCACAATTCCTGGTGAAATGTGCGGCCGTAAAACCACCCACGCTCCTGCGAGTCTTTACTGTGAGACCTGTTCAGCTGCGTCCTACAAGATATTGGCTTCAGTGGAACCTGTAGTTGTCTGAATGGTTCCCATTTCTCAGCCCAGTACTATAGAAACGGAGAGTGAGGAGTACAATTTGCACAACGACACTGAAAGCGACCTTGAGATTCCAGGAAAAGGCATCGTCATTGAGGATGTGAAAATGGTGAGATTACTTTTTTGTAATTTTTTTGTTTTTTAATTTATTGCTTTCAGTAACTTGATCGTGTTTGTCTTTACAGGATGTTGGTTCCACAGTGGTTGAAGTCTCTGCCCCTGCTGTTTAATGTGTCATATTGACAGTATGTTTTTGGTGTTTTGTATGTTTGGTAATTCAATAAACTGTATTTTTGCCTTGACATGACTGTGACCTGCCACTAGATGGCAGTGATGCTGTTTCTATTCATTTCAAAGAGTTGAGTGCCAGGAAACTAGTACTAAACCAGTTGTAGGTTGCACCAATGCCACTAAAAACCAGTCTTCATTTGATCTAGTGACATCACTCACCTTGGTACCTGTGTTTTAGGTTCATGCAAAATGTGATTTACAACTTCTACATCAGGGGTGCCCAATCCTGGTCCTCGAGAGCCCCTATCCAGCATGTTTTAGAAGTTTCCCTCTTCCAACACACCTGATTCACATGATCAGGATCGTTATCAGGCTTCTGCAGAGCTCGATGGTGAGCTGATCATTTGAAACATCTAAAACATGCTGGATAGGAGCTCTCGAGGACCAGGATTGAGCACCCCTGTTCTACATGTAATGAGTCAAATGACAATCAGTCCTGTAGGAGGGGAAACGGTGGCTTTCCAGGTGTCTAATTTGCTGGATTAGTTGCAGAAAAGCTATCAAGGATCAGACTTGACGGTGGTTTTGTGTTGGGTTCGGTAAATCTGATTGCGGCTGATTACTGCAGCACGAGTATCAAAATGCAAATTTCTCTTGTCTTCAATAAATTGCTGCTGATTAGTTGATAAGCAATGGTCCTATCACATCTTCTGGGTGGAGGTTTGGGAAATGTAGTCTTTCTCACTAGACTTGTTACATGCAGATTTTGACAAAAGTACTCAACTGTAATACAAATTGAAATGGAAGCGTGTGTTATCGGTGCTCAGTTGAGCTTGAAGGCCTAATTTCAGCCCAAATAAGCTGTAATTGAGCTAGAGCTGGCCTACAATTCACTGTGTGCTTAAATTGACATTTAAGATGATGGGTTCTACTCTTGGCGAGGTTTTTATTTTTAGTGGAAATATACTAGTTCAAAGGGTATCATTGGCGTTTCTGAGTGTTTTAACCTTAATATTTCAACTGCTGTGGTAAATTTGCACGATACTATTGGTCTTAACATTTAATTAGGTAAGTTTGTATACTATGTGTATAGGCAGGTAAATCTGAATTGCATTGCCTCTATATAATATAAATTTGTTTGGTAAATTTCTATAGTATTCAATGATATAGTCTTAAGCTAAGTATTGAAATTAGTCAGGCACTTTTTTAAAATTGTATTTAATCTTGTACAGTTGCTGTGTTAATGTTTAAATCTGTCAAGCAAATTATAACCTTCATTTATATACATATTGAACCTTGAGTACCCCTAAATTGTGTAAATCTATACTGTATAGTTGCTGGGTCTCAATCTTAACATTTAAATTGCTCATCAAATGTTATATAATTTCAATATTTAAATTGAAAATATGCATAATATTCTAGCAACTTAGCTTTCATATTCAAACTCGTTCGGCAAGTCAGTAATCTGATTCCTCTATTGTAAAGGTCTTTGAATCAGTTGTTTTAAATAACAGTGGCTTGACTTGACGTTAAGTGTTTGTGATGCTTTAGCTCAGAGCAGAGATGCTGTTGATTGTAATGAACACAAATCCTGATGCTGACACACTGTTTGAATGATGAGACCTCTGTCTGCTGTGCCAACATCACATCAGCCCCATTAATGCAACACTGCATCTGATGGTACGCACAAAACCTGACACTTGTTGAATATTCTTCTTTCTGCTTTCATTCCTGTTACAAATCTATTTTTGACAGATTTGTGTCAAGGTTCTGATGTAGAACTTTGGTCCAAACAAATGGTTCCTGCTAAAAGGATGGATCCTTTGTGATGGGTTGTATGCATCACGGTGAAGATTTTCTCTTGCATCACAGAAAGAGAAAACTTTATTTTTCATCCCCTATCTCAGAGAAACTCAGATTAGCATCTGCATTTTAGATTCTTCCAAAACAAATGTCCACCGAAGAACCCAGAAAAAGATGTTGGTCTTTGCAACATCATTTATAAAGGTCACGTCTGTATGACTCACTGCAGGATAAAAACTCTTCATGTGTGTTGACTTTTAACCGCGACAGTGGATAAACCGAGGCTATTTTTGACTTTAAGCATGTGACTTTCGGTTGTTTGCCCCGTGTTCATCCGAGCAGAAAATGAGTGTTATCACAGCGCTCACATCTCATTGGCTGTCAGCTGCAGGTGAGGGGGAAGCTGCTGCTGCCGCTGCTGCTGTGTGGCTCTCTCATGACGGCGTTAGAGAGGCTGTCAAGTGTAATTTTCTGCTGCCCACAGAGTCTTACCTCTTCAATCCATCTGCACACACACAGAGTCTCTGCTTACCGCTGAGTGCGAGCTGTATTTGTGGGAGTATTTGGCAGATTTGCTGGGAAAGAGCCTCGCGAACCTCTTGAAAATGGCTGAACCGGTGCTCATCCTTGTCCAACAATCAGCACCGGCTCTCCCACACAGTACACGAGGTGTTACCACTTGCTCCCTTTCCAGCGCCACCGACGGCAGAGCGGAACAGATCGATGTTACAGATGAGCTGATGTTGTATCCTCATGTCTGGCTTTTTGCATTTTACCAGGTTTGAATTCAGATGAGGCTGGAGGGAGCACTTATCAGAGTGTAACACCGAGTTGAGGTGTTGTGTTGCAGGAACTTTAAAGAGGAACTCCACCTGTTTTATTCATAAAGGTCAGTTTATTAGTCATAAGGAGTAGTCAGCCTGGGGAAGTGGGAGTTCGTCAAAACTTTAAGTCGGCTTTAGAGTCAGAAAAGCTGGAAAATGTCTCAAACTTTAGAGGTTGAAGGATTTTGGTCATTTGTATTGGTTGCACTGTGGCAGATGCAGGATCCGATGTTTTTAAAGCTTGACCTCAGCTGAAAGTCAGGATTTCTCGCTTTGTTTTTGGCTTCAGTGTGTCTCTTACGAGCACATTCGAGAAGATCTTCTGTCCACCTGTAGGTTTATTGGAAACTACACAGAGATCACAACAAACAGAATTGATGTTGAGAGCTGTTGTGTGTTTATCTGACTCTCGCTGACATTGTGGATGTCATGACTTTGCAGGTCCTGCAAGGGCCTCATACACTGTAAAAAAAAAAAATAGAAAGGTATTTGAGCTGAAGTTTATCAGTAAATGTAAATCTGACATGTCTTTCTGCTTTGGCGAAGGCAGGTTGCTTTTGTGCTTTCTGTCAACTTGAAATGATTTTTGTCCCTTTAAACTGGTATTTAATGTCAGCAAAAGTGCAAAAACGACTCTGATGTCCGTGTTGCTTCAATTTTTTCTGCTGCAGCTCAACTACCGTTTTTACTAGTAGGATTGAAAAAGGAAAGAACAGTCAGTCTAATGACAACATCATGCTTTATATGTTACATTTGGGCAAAGCAAAGACTTAAGCAGGAAAAACTAAAAACATCAAGTTGCCTTTCATTAAGATTTAGTTGCAGCTGTGCTCATTTGAGGGCAATCAAATGATTACCGTGCATCTAACTTAACATCTAACCTTAACTTATGACATTTAACTGTTAATTTAATTTGGATGATCTTAATTCAGTTGTGTGTTACCATCTTGAAGCAATTCAGTTAAGTTGGTCCAATAATTCCCTTTTCTTTCCAGTATTCTGTTTATCCAGTGACCAACAGTGCTTTCACAACAAACTGTTTGACGAATGCAGAGCTTACAAACAACAATTTTAGAGTTTACCGTCCTTTCTCTGATTCTAAAATCACTGACTCTGCCTTTTCTTGTGCATTTTTCACTCCATGATTCATTGCAACCTTCTGATTATTTCATACCAACACATTTTAACATATGTATAAAACCTATGCATGATTTAAATGGTTTTATAATCTCCCACACTGGCCCTCCAACCCTTATGCAGCTGCACATTAAATAACTGGAAAACCTCTTTAAGACAATTATCTGGCAGCTGACAGATTAGCTCACCACTGAGTTTCATGTTGCAGCTGTTCTGGAGCTTTCTGTCCCAGAACATGATCTTCTTCAGCAGATGGCGTTAGAACAGTTGTCATACAAGTGTGGTTTAATCATTTTCTTAAATTGTTAAGGACTTGTCATTCGCGCTTTCTGTCTAAGATGTGAGCACTGACATGTATAAATATGAATAATCTTCTTTCTGAAGCTTGTTAGGTTTGTTCCAACTGCTAGAAAGGCCCTGATTCAGTTTTAGAGGGCTTATCTTTTTGTATGTTGTCTTAATTTTTCTACTTTTGCGTGCGTAAGAAAGAACGTGTCGCTTCATGTGCATGGAGGCTGTTATTAGGTGATTGTGTTTGTTGTAGTGGACATCTGATGATCATCACAATAAGGGATTTTACAGAGATGCACAGAGAACAGATGTTTAAATCGACACCACATCTGTTACAAAAATAGCTGTGCCAAAAAGCAGGAAAGTCAACACCTCCACCACTCTGAGGAAACACTGAACATTTTCAGTTTCATTAAACTTTACTGCACCGTTATTGCACTGTAGAGGTCCGCGATAATTTGTCCAATCAATGTGCGAACCCATTGATTCCGCTAACTCTTAGTTTAAAACCAAATCCAGCTAAACGGGGAGTAATTCAGTCGTTGACGCCAACATCCAGCTGCCTTCAATTAATTCCTGAAAACACTTGAGGTTGTTTTGACGCTGAACTTCCTTTTTTTTTTTTTCTTCCCCTCAGGGATGTTTTTCACCTCCTGATGCTCGTGTGCGAAGGCAGCCTTACTGAAGCAGCGCAGAGCACAGTGGTATGAATTAAACGCTTGATGTTTGTGTGTTTGTGGGAAGGGCAGCAGCAGCAGCAGTGAGAGCTGGATACAGAACAGGAACTGATGGTCTCTGGGGGTTCTCATGGCTGTCTGAACGTTTGAAGGGTAGACCGCTCAGCGCAGGCAGCGATAGAGAGCATCGACCTCTATCTCTGGTGTTTGTAACCAGCTGGAGCCCTGCTTTTAAACCAAAGGCTCTGTCTTTGCCTTTCAACTGCAAGGTGAAAACAGAGCGTCTGGAAGGGGCAACGCATGTTTCCAAATGCTCTCCGGAACAAAAGCTTTTTGCCT